CTTCTGGACTGGTGTAGTGTACAGTACCCTTCTGGACTGGTGTAGTGTACAGTACCCTTCTGGACTGCTGTAGTGTACAGTACCCTTCTGGACTGGCGTAGTGTACAGTACCCTTCTGGACTGGCGTAGTGTACAGTACCCTTCTGGACTGCTGTAGTGTACAGTACCCTTCTGGACTGGTGTAGTGTACAGTACCCTTCTGGACTGGTGTAGTGTACAGTACCCTTCTGGACTGGCGTAGTGTACAGTACCCTTCTGGACTGGTGTAGTGTACAGTACCCTTCTGGACTGGTGTAGTGTACAGTACCCTTCTGGACTGGTGTAGTGTACAGTACCCTTCTGGACTGGTGTAGTGTACAGTACCCTTCTGGACTGGTGTAGTGTACAGTACCCTTCTGGACTGGTGTAGTGTACAGTACCCTTCTGGACTGGTGTAGTGTACAGTACCCTTCTGGACTGGCGTAGTGTACAGTACTCTTCTGGACACTGGACAAAGATAACGCTCCCTACTTTAAAATGTCTGATCCTCAACTTTCTGTAGAGAAACCATTAAACATTTAAGGCCAGCTAGTAAATTATACATGGCCCAAAAAAGGATTTTCCCTGGCATCACCAACAACCTACGGAAAGGAAGTAAGAGTATGAATTGCTCTGTGGCACATTTTAAGAGGGGGCGCAACATAAAATATTAAGATATCTCGTTGACAGTGTGTTTGGGGTGGGGGGTGAAGGGGGTGTCCCCACAGGAGTCCATGTTTTTAATATACCACACAGGTACTGCAGTGAGGGTTGTTTTTCTGTTATAATCCTTGGAATACCTGGGATAGAATAAAGTAATCCTTCTACCCCCCCCCCCCCCCCCCCCCACCCCCGCCCAAAAAAAATAAAAAATAAAAATTAATACATATTGTAAAGTGGTTGTCCCACTGGCTATCATAAGGTGAATGCACCCATTTGTAAGTCGCTCTGGATAAGAGCGTCTGCTAAATGACGTAAATGTAAATGAAGGCCACATGTTCATTTGCTTTGTAAAATAAACAGCTACATTCAGGAGGGTGTGGCATAAACACCTTGCCAGTTGGCAAGTAAATATTTAATCTACATATTAATATCACATTTAACTAGTTCAATCAACAATGAGCTGCTCACCCACATATTTAGAAACACAAGTGTCTCTACATGCTAACGGACAATAACACCATTAGTTTCAAGCCATCATCACCATTCCTAAACATATTTCACTTCTTCAACGTCTCGAACAATTCACACGCTCAGTTATAGATGCTGTAGGACATTAGTGTACAAAGCACCTCTTTACCTCATTATTCCCCGTCTGTGATGCGTTTCAGCTAATTTGTAGCAAACCACACCGCGGAGACGGAGGTTGTCATCTCTGCAGACTCACTTAACAGCGCTAAATGTTCCATGTCTGTGATGATGTAACATACGCTGCATCACAGTTCGGAGCATGAGAGGATATCCTTCAAACCCAGTCAACCCCCACCATACACCAACGCATATACACTACCGTTCAAAAGTTTGGGGTCACTTAGAAATGCAATTTTTTTTGTCCATTAAAATAACATCAAATTGATCAGAAATACAGTGTAGACATTGTTAATGTTGTAAATGGCTATTGTAGCTGGGGCGGTAGGTAGCTTAGTGGTTAAGAGCGTTGTGCCAGTAACTGAAAGGTCGCTGGTTCTAATCCCCGAGCCGACTAGGTGAAACATCTGTCAATGTGCCCTTGAGCAAGGCACTTAACCCTAATTGCTCCTGTAAGTCGCTCTGGATAAGTGCGTCTGCTAAATGACTAAAATGTAAATGAAAAGTTTGATTTTTAATGGAATATCTACATAGGCGTACAGAGGCCCATTATCAGAAACCATCAGTCCTGTGTTCAATGGCACGTTGTGTTTGCTAATCCAAGTTTATCATTTTAAAAGGCTAATTGATCATTAGAAAACCCTTTTGCAATTATGTTAGCACAGCTGAAAACTGTTGTACTGATTCAAGGAGCTATAAAACTGGCCTTCTTGAGACTAGTTGAGTATCTGGAGCATCAGCAATTGTGGGTTCGATTACAGGCTCAAAATGGCCAGAAACAAGCCATTTCTCAGACTGGCCAATAAAAAGAAAAGATTAAGATGGGCAGTCTGAGATATGGCTTTTTCTTTGCAACTCTGCCTAGAAGGTCAGCATCCCGGAGTCGCCTCATCACTGTTGACGTTGAGACTGGTGTTTTGCGGGTACTATTTAATGAAGCTGCCAGTTGAGGACCTGTGAGGCATCTGTTTCTCAAACTAGACACTAATGTATTTGTCCTCTTGCTCAGTTGTGCACCGAGGCCTCCCACTCCTCTTTCTATTCTGGTTAGAGCCAGTTTGCGCTGTTCTGTGAAGGGAGTAGTACACAGCGTTGTACGAGATCTTCAGTTTCTTGGCAATGTCTCGCATGGAATAGCCTTCATTTCTCAGAACAAGAATAGACTAACGAGTTTCAGAAGAAAGTTATTTGTTTCTGGCCATTTTGAGCCTGTAATCGAACCCACAACTGCTGATGCTCCAGATATTCAACTAGTCTCAAGAAGGCCAGTTTTATTGCTTCATGAATCAGCACAACAGTTTTCAGCTGTGCTAACATAATTGCAAAAGGGTTTTCTAATGATCAATTAGCCTTTTAAAATGATAAACTTGGATTAGCAAACACATCGTGCCGTTGGAACACAGGACTGATGGTTGCTGATAATGGGCCTCTGTACGCCTATGTAGATTTTCCATTAAAAAATCAGACGTTTCAAGCTACAATAGCCATTTACAACATTAATAATGTCTACACTGTATTTCTGATCAATTTGATGTTATTTTTATGGACAAAAAAAATGCTTTTCTTTTCGAAAACAAGGACATTTCTAAGTGACCCCAAACTTTTGAACGGTAGTGTACAACATCATATAGAAGATGTAGCTACAGTGCCTTCAGAAAGTATTCACACCCCTTGACTTATTATACATTGTTGTGTTACAGCCAGAATTCAAAATGGATTAGATTGATATTTTTTCTCACCCATTTACACACAATACCCCATAATAACAAAGTGAAAAAGTGTTTTTAGAAATGTTGCACATTTATTGAAATCGGAAATATCTAATTTACATAAGAATTCACAACCCTGAGTCAACACTTTATAGCATCACCTTTGGCAGCGATTACAGACAAGTCTTTCTGGGTAACTCTTTAACCCATAAGAGTCTAAGCCCCATCTAAGCCAGGGGCATTGAATAACAGATTCACTACATGGAACAACAGATAGTCCCCCCCAAAAAAATCTAAAGGAAGTTTGTTCTGAACTGTCTGTCCTATAGAAATATCAGGAAACATTTGTTATATACACATACATACATATACATATACACATATATATATACATATATATGGACACACCTACTCATTCCAGGGTTTTTCTTTATTTTTACTATTTTCTACTTATAGAATCATGTAGTAACCAAAAAAGCATTAAACAAATCTAAATATATTTTATATTTGAGATTCTTCAAAGTAGCCACCCTTTGCGTTGATGACAGCTTTGCACACTCTTGGATTTCTCTTAACCAGCTGAGGAATGCCTTTCCAACAGTCTTGAAGGAGTTCCCACATATGCTGAGCACCTGTTGACTGCTTTTCCTTCACTCTGCCGTCCGACTCATCCCAAACCATCTGAATTGGGTTGAGATCAGGTGATTGTGGAGGCCAGTTCATCTGATGCAGCACTCAATCACTCTCCTGCTTGGTCAAATAGCCCTTACACAGCCTGGAGGTGAGTTTTAGGTCACTGTCCTGTTGAAAAACAAATGATAGTCCCACTAAGCGCAAACCAGATGGGATGGCGTATCGTTGCAGAATGCTGTGGTAGCCATGCTGGTTAAGTGTACCTTGAATTCTAAATAAAATCACTGACAGTGTCACCAGCAAAGCACCCCCACACCATCATACCTCCTCCTCCATGCTTCACAGCGGGAACCACACATGCGGAGGTCATCCGTTCACCTACTCTGCGTCTCACAAAGACACGGCGGTTGGAACCAAAAATCTCAGATTTGGACTCATCAGACCGATTTCCACCAGTCTAATGTCCATTGCTCGTGTTTCTTGGCCCAAGCTAGTCTCTTCTTCTTATTGGTGTCCTTTAGTAGTGGTTTCTTTGCAGCAATTCGACCATGAAGGCCTGATTCACGCAGTCTCCTCTGAACAGCTGATGTTGAGATGCGTCTGTTACTTGTACTCCGTGAAGGATTTATTTGGGCTGCAATTCTTGAGGCTTGTAACTGTAATGAACTTATCCTCTGCAGCAGAGGTAACTCTGGGTCTTCCTTTCCTGTGGCGGTCCTCATGAGAGCCAGTTTCATCATAGCGCTTGATGGTTTTTGCGACTGCACTTTAAGAAACGTTCAAAGTTCTTGACATTTTCCGGATTGACTGACCTTCATGTCTTAAAGTAATGATGTACTCTCTTTGCTTATTTTAGCTGTTCTTGCCATAATATGGACTTGGTCTTTTACCAAATAGGGCTATCTTCTGTATACCACCCCTACCTTGTCACAACACAACTGATTGGCTCAAACGCATTAAGGAAAGAAAGAAATTTCACAAATTAACAAGGCACACCTGTTATCTGAAATGCATTCCAGGTGACTACCTCATGAAGCTGGTTGAGAGAATGCCAAGAGTGTGCAAAGCTGTCATCAAGGCAAAGGGTGGCTACTTTGAAGAATCTCAAATATAACATCTATTTTGATTTGTTTGACACTTTTTTGGGTTACTACATGATTCCATATGTGTTATTTCATAGTTTTGATGTCTTCACTATTATTCTACAATGTAGAAAATAGTTTTAAAAAATAAAGAAAAACCCTGGAATGAGTAGGTGTGTAGGTCAAGCAGGTCCTCTCACCTGTCCTGGTCTTGGTGTTGGTGAGGATCTCCTGTAGCCGCTCCTGTAGTTTATCTGCTCTCCTCCTCTCCAGCTGTAGCTGCCTCTTCAAGTCTTTCAGCTACAAACAATGCAACAAAGCCCATGAGAGGAGAGTACACTACTTCATTTGAAAAACACTGCAATAGATAACAGCATGCGACTCAGGGAGAGGCAAAGATAATCTTAGACAGGCATCTGATTAAGACAAAGAAAACAATCAAATAAGATGAACCATCCTACCCTGAAAATTATTTCGATTGTGGCTGGAATAGGGAGCTACAAAACCCTTACGACCCCTATGCCTTAGGCTAGCCCATATGCTTGCAATTATCTGCAGATTCTTATCATCAAGGCAGGCATCCGGTAACTGCTTGCAAAGGGGTCAAACTGGGATATAGAAAAGGCTGCCCCGATTCTACTTCTCTGGAGAAGAGTGGGTGCGGCTGAGTGAGTTGCCTGCCTACCTGCCACCTGTAAATTATAATTTAATTACCACTCTGTACTAAATGGAAGGGGCCTGACTCATCAGTTTCCCTGCTCAGATGTTAGTGGTCAGAGAAGAGAGAGGGGGGGGGGGGGGAGCGAGAGAGCGCGAGAGAGAGAGAGAGAGGGAGTGAGAAGAGAGGGAGGGAGAGAGAGAGGGAGTGAAAAGAGAGGGAGCGAGAAGAGAAGAGAGAGAGGGTGTTCCACTTACTGCTGAACTACCTTTCTTCTCCAGGATCCTCTGGCCATCCACCGTGTCTTTAATCTCCTGAACACCACAAAGACAGGGAGAGTACATCATGGAGGCTCTAATGGGAACCATTACATGAGCACACAGGCTTTTTATGCAGCTTATACTGGAAAATATGTGTACATGTATGGAACATTTCAAACTGTACTTTCCTCTGAAAATGTGATAGAAAAAGGGGAGTTTAAAGGGGGGTTAGTTTACCTGCTTCAGTTTTCCAATGGTTTCATTTTGCACATCCCTCTCCTTCTCTAGCTCCGTCAACTGCAGCTTCACACCACCTAGATCACATGCCTTTCCCTGAATGAGAAAAACAAAGAATACATATTCAGTTTTTCTGTTATTTTCCCATATCCAATCTTAGAATCTGATGGGGTTTAAAAGGTTAGAGGGAAAACATACGTTTCAACATAATAAGGTTACTATTCACACCATGCTAATGGTATATTTACAGTGATTACGAGATTAACATAAATTGGACCATTCTGAATTAATTTCATGATACTAACAAGATTTTAATTGAAACAGTGGGGGTTCAATTTCAAACACAAGCACATCACCAAACCTACCAGCCCAATTAGAGAGTTACACATAGAAGAGAAACACACATAAGAAACACTTTGAATTGCTAAATAAGTACAGTTCAATGAACATCAGGTCAGCAGACGAGACTAGCAATTTGAGTCATGGCTTCATCTACCAGGGCCAACTGCAGTGAACAAAGCCTACATCCACTCCCAGTCAGTATTCCCCAGGGTCAACTGCAGTGAACAAAGCCTACATACACTCCCAGTCAGTATTCCCCAGGGTCAACTGCAGTGAACAAAGCCTACATACACTCCCAGTCAGTATAGTATTCCCCTGGGCCAACTAGTGTTGTCACGATACCAGAATTTTCACTTCAATACCAGGTTTAGTCTCACGATACTCCAAACCATCGCGATACTCCATACCATCGCGATACTCCATACCATCGCGATACTCCATACCATCGCGATACTCCATACCATCGCGATACTCCATACCACAACAAAGAAAATAAGGCGTATTAGCCAAAGTCACAGAATGGCACTTGATCCAGACAGATAAACTATGTTCAATCGTTGGGCAGCTTTAGAGCTCCATATCATGACATTTGAAAAATGTTATGTCTATTTGTTTTTGGGGCCATTCATTAATAAATTATACAATCAATTTGACTTTGTTTTTACCAATCTAACTACAAAACAACATAATAGTAATAATTTATTTGAATGTTACTGTAAATCTCTATTAATAAACTGGGTAAATCAAGATGTAGCCTAGGTCTATTCAAAATACAGGTGAATGCATATTATTCAATAGGAGTGTGTGCATGCATTGAGTTATTGAGCTTGTTCAAGCTGATTTCATGGGACTACAGATGGCAAACAATCCCTCCCATTTAGGATGTATTTTATTGGCAACTGCTAGGAGAACATATTCTATTGTACGATCAACAACATCTGCATAGAAGAAGCAATCTCTTCTTTTATAAAAGTGTTATAGTAATGACATCATTCGCGAGGCAGAACATGGCTGTGGAATCTGTCTTTATTGCTATGGAATCTAGTGAAAACAGTTTTTGGTGGCGGCAGAGACTAAATGAATTAATAACGTTTTGGTTGACAATCAGCTTTGAAATCAGCATATTTTGCATTATGGTTTGCATATTATCACAAACAATGTACTAGGGCGTTATGGTTTGCATATTTTCACAAACAATGTACTAGGGTAGTGAATTCTGCAAGGAAAGTTAGCCTACAATTAAAGCTGGAATCTACCGGTATTGTCTTGCATTGTAAAAGTGTTCTATCCTGTATGGACATTGTACAGTAATGAACAGTTTGAACATTTTACCAGTTAAAACTCGGGACCTTATATGGTATGACGGGAATAATCTGTTGTAAAAATGTTTATTATGGGTTATTATGGGACCAGAGTTTATTTTTTATTTTTTTATTTTTTTTTTAAATCAGGTCACATGTTATTTTTTTACTCCTGAAAAAAGTCCTGGTCTTGGGGAGGATGAAAGCCCTGTCAAACTGCAGCAACCTTACTGGTTCATATGAATTATATTTTAAAGAAGGACTAGGGGGGGTTCTTATACACAGAGAAAGCAACATGATTGGACAATAAAACTCACATGGCTGAGCTTGCTTTATGCAGGTCTGCATGGCATAGTCCTGCCCTATGCAACTGTAGGCCTAATTAAAAATTAACTCACAGTCTATGTCAGATATTGTGTTTATTGATTAATTCCAGTTAATAATTTTTTATTTAAAAAGTCTAAGTAGCCTAGTCCGTTTAAATATAAAACAAATTTGATCCCATTCACATTTTCACAAACAAATGGGCTATAAATACCCTGGCCAGAGGGACAGGAGGATAGCTAGACTATGCAGCTGCTGTTGTTGTTAGTTTACATGCAATACAGCACATCAGATCGCTAGTGTTTAGGTGTTTAGGCTGCTACATTTATGGAAGAGTTTTCGCTTGTGTCTGTCGGGAGTAATGTGTTATCACGATTGCTAAATAAATACCGGAGGAAAGTGGAGAGAATGCCTTGAGCTTAGTGCATTGTTCTGTGAATCTTATTGGTCAAGAGCCTGCAGCAGAACTCCGATGTGAAGGACAGAGAAATTGTGCGCAAGTTCAAAAATCATGGAGGCAAATCAGTTTTAAAAAAAACGGCACTTTGCCCCTCTTTTTAAAAACGGAACTTTGCGTTAATATATTGAAAAGTGCTGTGGCAAATGCCGCCTCACCACAGGTTTTCCCGGCGGCCCTGGAATGAGTAAGTGGAGCAGGCACTTTGCTCTTGGCGTTATAAAGGGGCTGTGCTGGTAGACAGACTTGATACTCTCAATCACGTGAGACATTTGACAGAAGTACTGAACGGAACAACAACACTAGTACCGAACAGTTTTTGTTTTTCACATACAGTAACAAAGTTTCAGTATACCGTGCAACACTAAGGCCAACTGCAGTGAACAAAGCCTACATACACTCCCAGTAGGTATTCCCCTGGGCCCAGAGGAAAGTGTCTGTCTGAGTGTGTTGCTGTGTACACCACTCTGCCGTGTCTGTCTGAGATGAGGAAAACAAGTGAAACAACCTCCAGTTGGAGAGTATGTTCTTTCTGCAGCTTCTCCATGCGCTCCTGGTGCTCCAGACTGCTCCTCTCTGTGCTCTCCTGAACACAGGGAGGGACACGACATTGGAACAAGCAATCAACTAATCATCAGCACACATCTATTTTTAGAATTCTTTAACAGGCTAAACTACTGTAAATATTTAAAGCCATTAAATCGCAGTAAATGCTAGAAAACAAAACAAATCTGAGCAGAAATAAGTAAGAAGCACTAGTGACACCATGTGGTCAGTGTTACCGTGACACCATGTGGTCAGTGTTACCGTGACACCATGTGGTCAGTGTTACCGTGACACCATGTGGTCAGTGTTACCGTGACACCATGTGGTCAGTGTTACCGTGACACCATGTGGTCAGTGTTACCGTGACACCATGTGGTCAATATTACTCTAGGCAGTGAAGGGCGCCTCTAACTGCCAGTATTGATCACTCATTAACCTCCTCTTCAACACCATTTCTGTATGTTCATGTAAAAGCTTTAAAGTGTATAGTGGTACAACACAGCATAACTAACCCACTTCAGTAAGTACTGTAATATTCTAGTGAAAGTGAAGTTGCTAGTTGCTAGTGTACCTCAGCCTCTTTGAGTCTGCGTTCGAACCAGCCCTTAGTGTTCTCCATGGACTGGACCTGGGCCTGCAGCTCTTCCACACTCTGCTGCAGACCCTCCAGCTCCTTATTGCGAGCCTAGAGATCAAAAGGTCACATTAATTCACAAGCAATGTAGCTTCTCATGTTCTCTCCCTTCTCATTGGCTCTGTGGCACTGAATCTAAATGTGTCCCACCATCTTCACCTTCTCGTCTCGGAGCTGTGAGCGGATATCCTCCTCTGTGCGGTTCTTGTCCTCGTGGAGACTCCTCAGCTCCTTCTCATAGCGCGCCCGCACCCCCAGCACCTCCTTCTCATGCTGCAGACGCAAGTCGCTCAGCTCCTCCTTATGCCGGGACTTCTCTGTGATTATCTGGATGGCCAGTTCATCCAGCATGGCCTTCCGCTTGTCAGCTGTCTGCAGGTGGACGGAGACAGGGAGGATATCTCTGGACGTTACTACATATCTCTGACATTTATTGTGCTGATAAATGAACAATAACATTCACACTCATCCAGCACTGATTTACTCATTTTTAAACAAACCATGAGACAAATCTTTGAATCATAATCCTGAATTCATATAAATCTAACTCAAATATAACTGTGATAAATCCAAGACTGGCACATAAGCTAATTGAAGCTGTGATGTCTATTTATGGTCTGTGACCCTGTGGGCAGAAGGAGTGGAGCTTGAGGGAGGTCAACTCAGCACTCCCACTTTCCCTGGCATACAGTAATGCCAATTACTACAGTGCCATGTGTGTACGCCTCCTGCAAGTGTCTCTCTGTGTCACAGATAGCCCACCTTTTTAGCCTCCTCCAGCTCTTGCTGTAGTCTGTCTTTCCATTGGTCCATTTCAGTCAGCTGTTCCAACAGTCTGCTGTTGGCACGGTTCACCTCCTACAGAGAAAAAGACAGCGAAAGAGAGTATAAAAATTAATTTGCAACTCCAGCTTTTTACTCCTTGACCTACAATATAAGTAATAACCACTATAAAAGTAAGGTTTATTTCAGTTGTTCTTGCGAGTATGCACGCACTAGGACAATCTGATGGCCACACAAACCTGCAGCTGAGAGTTAAGGTCATCTCTCTGTGCCAGGAAGCTCTCCTGCTCTGTCCGTCTCTGCTGCAGCTCCACGTTCAGAGCCGTGTTTTGGTCACGCAAAAGGTTCATCTCCTGAGTCTTCACTGTCTGAATCTAAAGACAACGCCCACCCACTGGTCAGTGCACACTCAGCTCAGCCATTTTACACAGGTATTTCTAGACTTGGTTTAATGAAACATGGATCATATGGATCAGTAGGGTAGAAGTGGAGAAAGTGAGACATGAAAAGCAGATGAGCAGAAGTTGGACGACTGTGGATTAAGCTTTGTAGGGAAAACAACAAACCGTTAGTATTATTGTAAGTAGCAGCAACTAATGTGTCTGAACTATTGATATAATTACCATCCGTTAGTATATGAAAAATGTCTTTACCTCCCTGACTTTATTCACATCAGCTTGACTTGTCATAATGGTGATGCATCATGGGTAATGGCTAGTGAGTGGTGACAATGGTAGAATTAATATTGACGAGGTTCCGTGGGGTTTGAGCCGGGCCCGGGGTCCTGGCAGGGCGGGGGTCAGGATACTCTACCTGTTCTAGAGCGACTAGGTTAGTCCTGAGAGCATCGTTCTCAGTCAGGATACTCTCCACCTGCTCCTGACTCACAGCACTCTGACACGCTATCTGCATCACAGCGCCACACACAGGGTAAACACAGGGGGCACCACCCAGGACAGCCAGGGAGGGAAAAGAGGAGAGACGGAGGAAAAAGACAATGTGCAAGGTGAAGAAAAGGATACAAGAGGTGGCGATTGGCAAAACAACAATATGTATTGAAAGAGAAGGGGGAAAGGCGGTTTCCATTGATAGGATGGACGGATCATCAACGGAACAATAAAGGAAGAAGGGGTCGGGGTGAAATTACCAGAAGAGGATCAGTAAGGCACGAAAAACAGATGGCAAAGGAATTTTAAAAAAGAAGGATAAATTAGGTCATGTAGAATGAAACAATGAAGAACGGTGACAGAAGCCAGATGAGAAACAGAATGTCTGCATGACGCACCAAAAATACTTGGAATAAAAAAGTACTTCCATATTGTAAAGAGAAAATGAAAAGAGAACACAACAGCAGACTCCAATGCCTTATCTTGTTGTCTATCCAAAGCAGAGTTCAAGTTAATTAAGACTTGTGACGTCTCAGAGGACATAAGTGCCAGTCATGCTAACAGCCAGGCAGGCAGGGCCCTGTGTAATTCATTGAGAGATCTAGGAGGCCTTACTAAAGTGGAAAAACAGACTGGTCCCTAATGAAGTGCACCGTGCCCACAAAGACAGCACCACTCTCTTCCAGACAACCTCTTCACACTTCCACTAATCTCTAATTATTTAGGGTGATCCTCACTCTGCCTTTTCATTAACCGTCAATTAAATGTCTCGACTTTAAGATAATTTGAACGTTAGGAAAAATATAGCATACAGTGCATTCGGAAAGTATTCAGACCCCTTGACTTTTTCCTAATTTTGTTACATTACAGCCGTCTTCTAAAATTGATTTTTTTCCTCATCAATCTACACACAATAACCAATAGGCCTCCTGTAGCTCAGTTGGTAGAGCATGGCGCTTGCAACGCCAGGGTTGTGGGTTCGATTCCCATGGGGGGCCAGTATGACAAATGTATGCACTCACTAACTGTAAGTCGCTCTGGATAAGAGCGTCTGCTAAATGACTAAAATGTAAATGACAAAGTGAAAACAGGTTTTTAGACGTTTTAGCAAATATATAAAAAATTAAAACAGAAATACCTTATTTACATACGTTTTCAGACCCTTTGCTATGAGACTTGAAATTGAGCTCAGGTACATCCTGTTTCCATTGATCATCCTTGAGATGTTTCTACAACTTGATTGGAGTCCCCCTGTGGTAAATTCAATTGATTGGACATGATTGGGAAAGGCACACACCTGTCTATACCACCGGTCAAAAGTTTTAGAACACCTACTCATTCAAGGGTTTTTCTTTTTTTTAAACTATTTTCTACATTGTAGAATAATAGTGAAGACATCAAAACTATGAAATAACAAATATGGAATCATGTAGTAACCAAAAAAGTGTTACACAAATCAAAATATATTTTATATTTGACTTTCTTCAAATAGCCACCCTTTGCCTTGATGACAGCTTTGCACACTCTTGGCATTCTCTCAACCAGCTTCATGAGGAATGCTTTTCCAACAGTCTTGAAGGAGTTCCCACATCTGCTGAGCACTTGATGGCTGCTTTTCCTTCACTCTGCGGTCCGACTCATCCCAAACTATCTAAATTTAGTTGAGGTCGGGGGATTGTGGAGGCCAGGTCATCTGATGCAGCACTCCATCGCTCTCCTTCTTGGTCAATAGCCCTTACAAAGCCTGGAGGTCATTGTCCTGTTGAAAAACAAATGCTAGTCCCACTAAGCCCAAACCAGATGGGATGGCGTATCGCTGCAGAATGCTGTGGTAGCCACGCTGGTTAAGTGTGCCTTGAATTCTAAACAAATCACAGACAGTGTCACCAGCAAAGCACCCCCACACCATAGCACCTCCTCCTCCATGCTTTACGGTGGGAAATACACATGCAGAGATCATCCGTTCACCCACACCGCGTCTCACAAAGACACAGCCGTTGGAACCAAACATCTCCAAATTGGACTCCAGACCAAAGGACAAATTTCCATCGTTCTAATGTCCATTGCTCGTGTTTCTTGGCCCAAGCAAGTCTCTTCTTCTTATTGGTGTCCTTTAGTAGTGGTTTCTTTGCAGCAATTCGACCATGAAGGCCTGATTCACACAGTCTTCTCTGAACAGTTGATGTTGAGATGTGTCTGTTACTTGAACTCTGTGAAGCATTTATTTGGGTTGCAATTTCTGAGATTGGTAACTAATGAACTTATACTCTGCAGCAGAGGTAATTCTGGGTCTTCCATTCCTGTGGCGGAGCCAGTTTCATCATAGCGCTTGACGGTTTTTGCGACAGCACTTGAAGAAACGTTCAAAGTTCTTGAAATGTTCCGTATTGACTGACCTTCACTGTCACGGATTCTGCCGAGGCTGCTCCTCCTCCTTGTTCGGGCAGGCTTCGGCGTTCGTCGTCCCCGGAGTACTAGCTGCCACCGTTGAATGTTTCTATGTTTGATTGCTTTTGTCTGTCTGTTGCACCTGTGTCCGTTTGTGTCTAATTGTGTGTCCTATAAGTTGCCTGTTTGGTGTTGGTTAGTTTGTGTGTTGTTATTCGCCTGTCCGTTAGTGCTGCATGTTTTTCTCTGTTTATTGTTTTATTGGTTTACGCACAGTTTGCGTAATCGCTTGCCTCTGTTTATTGTTGAGGCCGTTCATTGTATTGTGCTTTGGTTTGCACTAGTAAACTTTGTTGGACTAAGCTTCGGTGTCCTGCGCCTGACTCCCACACCACATTAACCTCAGCCATTGACAGAACAACACACCTTTATGGAGTCAGCAGGAGCAGCGGCGGCCCCCAAGTCGCTGGAGGATCGGATCAGCGACCAAGACACCATGATCCGGCAACTTGGGGCCGCCATGAACGAGGTGTCCAATACGCTGCGCCGATTGGTTACGGGAGAGGTGCCCACGCCTTCGCACACCTTACCATCACCATCGGCCAGTCCTCCTCTCCCAGCACCGGAACCCAGTGGCATTCGGCTTTCGCTCCCGAGGGCATATGATGGTTCTGCAGCCGGGTGTCAGGGGTTCCTCCTGCAGGTGGAACTCTACCTGGCCACCTTACACCCGGCGCCCTCGGGATACGAGAGCGTCTCCGCCCTCATCTCCTGTCTATCCGGCAAGGCGTTGGAGTGGGCCAACGCTGAATGGAGGGGAATAGACGCCGCCACCATCACCTACGCGGAGTTCTCCCGCCGCTTCAGGGCTGTGTTCGATCATCCACCTGAGGGGAAGGCGGCGGGGGAGCGTCTGTTCCACCTCCAACAGGAGAAAAGGAGTGCACAGGAGTTCGCCCTGGAGTTCCGGACTCTAGCGGCGGATGCGGGGTGGAATGAGAGGGCCCTCATCGACCATTACCGGTGTAGCCTACGAGAGGACGTTCGTCGTGAGCTGGCCTGCAGGGACACCAACCTATCCTTCGACCAGTTGGTGGACATTTCCATCCGTCTCGACACCTGCTGGCTACCCGCGGACGTCCCGAGTGGGGGTCGTCCATTCCACCCTCCAGCACCTCCGAGCCGGTTCCCATGGAGCTCGGGGGTGCTGGCACTAGGGAGAGGAGGAGAGAGAACCCGAGGGGGGCCGTCCCCTGCACCAACTGTGGCCGTGGAGGACACACTGCGGCTAGGTGCTGGGGAGGGTCTCCTGGGAGAGGGGACAACAGGTCACGCACTGGGGAGTCATTTCAGGTGAGTAGGCGTCCCACTTACCCAGAGCTCTCTGTTGGTCACTTGTGTATACCTGTGAGATTTCCACAGGTGGCACCTCATTCCCAGCATAAGGCGCTAGTAGATTCAGGCGCAGCTGGGAACTTTGTTGATCGTGAATTTTGTTATAGGTTAGGAATTCCCCTTCGGCCGGTAGAAGCCCCCTTTCCTGTTCATGCCCTAGACAGCCGGCCGCTGGGGTCGGGGTTGATCAGAGAAGTCACAGCACCACTTAAGATGATGACGCAGGGGGGTCATGAGGAGATCATTCAGTTTTATCTGATCGACTCTCCTGCGTATCCCGTGGTGCTGGGGCTTCCCTGGTTAAGCGCCCATGATCCTACCATTGCGTGGCAACAGAGGGCTCTTATGGAGTGGTCTGCCCAGTGTGTAGGGAGATGTCTAGGTGTTTCCTTAGGGGCGACCTCGGTGGAGAGTCCGAACCAAGTGCCCGCAATGCACATTCCCCCTGAATATGAGGATTTAGCACTTGTGTTCAGCAAAACGAGGGCAACACGGCTACCACCTCATAGACAGGGGGATTGTGCGATAGATCTCCAAACAGGAGCGGCACTTCCGCGGAGCCGTGTGTATCCCCTGTCTCAAGAGGAGACCGCGGCTATGGAGATTTACATAGCCGATTCCTTGGCACAGGGATACATACGGTCCTCCACTTCCCCGGTTTCCTCGAGTTTCTTCTTTGTGAAGAAGAAGGACGTGGGGTTTGCGCCCGTGTATTGATTACCGTAGTCTCAATCAGATCACGGTTAAGTACAGTTACCCTCTTCCTCTGATTGCGACTATGACGGAGTCATTACGCGGAGCGCGGTTCTTCACAAAGTTAGATCTCAGGAGCGCGTACAATCTGGTGCGCATTAGGGAGGGGGATGAATGGAAAACAGCATTTAGCACCACCTCGGGTCATTACGAGTATCTCGTCATGCCATACGGGTTAATGAATGCTCCTTCAGTCTTCCAATCCTTTGTTGACGAGATTTTCCGGGACATGAATGGGCAGGGTGTGGTAGTATACATCGACAACATCCTAGTGTACTCTTCTACACGAGCCGAGCATGTAGCCCTGGTGCACCGAGTGTTGAGGAGGCTGTTGGAGCATGACTTGTATGTCAAGGCAGAGAAATGCTTGTTTTTCCAGGAGTCCGTCTCCTTTTTGGGTTATCGATTGTCCGCGTCTGGTGTGAAGATAGAGGTTGACCGTGTGTCGGCCGTGCGTAATTAGCAAACTCCAACCACTGTAAAAGAGGTGCAGCAGTTTTTGGGTTTTGCTAATTACTACCGGAGGTTTATCCGGGGCTTTGGACAGGTGGCAGCTCCCATTACGTCCCTGCTAAAGGGGGGTCCGGTGCGTTTGCAGTGGTCAGCTGAGGCGGACAGGGCATTTGTTAAACTAAAGAACCTGTTCACTTCGGCTCCGGTGCTGGCGCATCCGGATCCCGCTTTACCATTCCAAGTTGAGGTAGACGCGTCCGAGGCCGGTATTGGGGCAGTCCTTTCGCAACGGTCCGGCACGCCACCTAAACTCCGCCCCTGTGCGTTCTATTCTAAGAAGCTCAGCTCGGCGGAGCGTAATTATGACGTAGGGGACAGGGAGCTGTTAGCTGTAGTCCAGGCCCTAAAGGTGTGGAGGCATTGGCTTGAGGGGGCTCAACACCCTTTCCTCATTCTGACTGACCACCGTAACCTGGAGTACATCCGGGCAGCTAGGAGACTAAACCCTCGTCAGGCTAGGTGGAACATGTTCCTAACCCGGTTTGTTTTTAAGATCACATACATCCCAGGGTCCCAGAACAGTAAGGCAGATGCCCTGTCCCGGCGGTATGACACAGAGGAGAGGTCCATTGAGCCTACTCCCATACTGCCGGAGTCTTGTCTGGTGGCTCCGGTGGTGTGGGAGGTAGATGCGGAGATCGAGCGGGCACTGCGTACCGACCCTACTCCCCCAGAGTGTCCGGTGGGGCGGACGTATGTTCCGCTCGAGGTTCGTGACCGCCTTATCTATTGGGCTCATACATCACCCTCCTCTGGACATCCAGGTATTGGCCGGACAGTGCACTGCCTTAGCGTGAAATACTGGTGGCCAACGTTAGCTAGGGATGTGAGGGTGTATGTCTCCTCCTGCTCGGTGTGCGCCCAGTGTAAGGCGCCTAGACATTTGCCCAGGGGAAAGTTACATCCCCTGCCCGTTCCACAACGACCATGGTCCCACCTCTCGGTGGATTTTGTGACAGACCTTCCCCCCTCCCAGGGGAATACCACTATTTTGGTCGTTGTGGATCGGTTTTCCAAGGCCTGTCGTCTCCTCCCAATGCCGGGTCTCCCTACTGCCCTACAGACCGCTGAGGCCCTATTTACCCACGTTTTCCGGCACTATGGGGTGCCCGAGGATATAGTGTCTGACCGAGGTCCCCAGTTCACCTCCAGAGTCTGGGGGGCGTTCATGGAACGCTTGGGGGTCTCGGTGAGCCTTACCTCGGGTTACCACCCAGAGAGCAATGGGCAGGTAGAACGAGTCAACCAGGATGTGGGTAGGTTTCTGAGGTCCTATTGCCAGGGCCGGCCGGAGGAGTGGTCAAGGTATATCCCATGGGCAGAGATGGCACAGAACTCTCTCCGCCACTCCTCCACCAATCTAACACCTTTCCAGTGTGTTTTAGGGTATCAGCCGGTTCTGGCACCATGGCACGAGAGCCAGATCGAGGCTCTTGCGGTGGATGAGTGGATTCGGCGCTCGGAGGAGACGTGGGACGCTGCACATGTCCATCTGCAGCGGGCCATCCGTCGACAGAAGGCGAGCGCCGATCGCCCGAGATCGAGTCTGGCTCTCGACTCGAAACCTGCCCCTCCGCCTGCCCTGCCGGAAGCTGGGTCGGCGGTTTGTGGGGCCCTTTAAAGTCCTGAGAAGATTGAACGAGGTGTGTTACAGGTTACAACTGCCTATTGATTATAAGAATATTAACCCCTCGTTCAATCTTCTTCTTTTAATAAGGCACACCTGTTAATTGAAATATATTCTAGGTGACTACCTCATGAAGCTGGTTGAGAGAATGCCAAGAGTGTGCAAAGCTGTCATCAAGGCAAAGGGTGGCTATTTGAAGAATCTCAAATATAAAATATATTTTGATTTGTTTAACACTTTTTTGGTTACTACATGATTCCATGTGTTATTTCATAGTTATTCTACAATGTAGAAAATAGTCAAAATAAAGAAAAACCCTTGAATGAGTAGGTGTTCTAAAACTTTTGACCAGTAGTGTATATAAGGTCCCACAGTTGACAGTGCATGTCAGAGCAAAAACCATGCCATGAGGTCGAAGGAATTGTCTGTAGAGCTCAGAGGCAGGATTGTGTCAAGGCACAGATCTGGGGAAGGGTACCAAAACAATTCTGCAGCATTGAAGGTCCCCAAGAACACAGCGGCCTCCATCATTCTTAAATGGAAGAAGTTTGGAACCACCAAGACTCTTCCTTGAGCTGGCCGCCCAGCCAAACTGAGCAATCGGGGGAGAAGGGTCTTGGTCACTCTGACATGGCTCCAGAGTTCCTCTGTAGAGAGAATCTTCCAGAAGGACAACCATCTATAATAATAATAATATAATATGCCATTTAGCAGATGCTTTTATCCAAAGCGACTTACAGTCATGCGTGCATACATTTTTTTGTGTATGGCCCTAAGCACACAGCCACAGCAGGAGTGGCTTCGGGACAAGAGTCTGAACCCGATCGAACATCTCTGGAGAGACCTGAAAATAGCTGTGCAGCGACGCTCCCCATCCAACCTGACAGAGCTTGAGAGCATCTGCAGAGAAGAATGGGAGAAACTCCCCAAATACAGGTGTGTCAAGCTTGTAGCGTCATACCCAAGAAGACTCGAGGCTGCCAAAGGTGCTTCAACAAAGTACTGAGTAAAGTGTCTGAATATTTATGTAAATGTCATATCAGTTTATTTATTTTTTTTATATACATTTGCAAACATTTCTCAAAACCTGTTTTTGCTTCGTCACTATGGGGGTAGTGTGTGTAGATTGATGAGAAAAAAACTGTTTTAATCCATTTTAGAGTAAGGCTGTAACGTAACAAAATGTGGAAAAAGTCAAGGGGTCTGAATACTTTCCGAATGCAGTGTACACAGTTCGACTAAAGTTTAGAGTAAAAGTGAATGTCAGATGCCTTAATATTTCCATATTACAGGAACTGTGGTGAACACAGTGTATACACATGAGAACGCTCTACATTATACTACCTATATGGGGTATCATCATACGCTACTTACATGAACACACTACAGTGTATACACATGAGAACGCTCTCCACTATACTACCTATATGGGGTATCATCATACGCTACTTCCATGAACACACTACAGTGCCGTGAAAAGTATTTTCCCCCTTTCTGATTTTCTCTATTTTTGCATTTTTTTATACTGAATGTTATCAGATTTTCTACCAAAACCTAATATTAGATAAAGGGAACCTGAGTTTACAAATAACAGAAAAAAAGTATACTTATTTTATTTATTTAACAAAGTAATGCAACACCCAATTCCTCTGTTTGAAAAAAGTAATTGCCCCCTTACACTCAATAACTGGTTTTGCCACCTTTAGCTGCAAATGACTCCAACCAAACGCCTCCTGTAGTTGTTGATCAGTCTGTCACGTCGCTGTGGAGGAATTTTGGCCCACTCTTCCATGAAGAACTGCTTCAACTCAGCGACATTTGTGGGTTTTCAAGCATGAACTGCTCGTTTCAAGTCCTGCCACATCATCTCAATTGGGATTAGGTCTGGACTTTGACTAGGCCATTCCAAAACTTCAAATTTGTTGCTTTTTAGCCATTTTCATGTAGACTTTTTCACACAGGGGCATTGGGTGTTGCACAACTTTATTTATGAAATAAATGAAGTATGTAATTGTTGTGTTATTTGTTCACTCAGGTTCCCTTTATCTAATATTAGGTTTTGGTTGAAGATCTGATAACATTCAGTATAAAAAATATGCAAAAGTTAGAAAGGGGGCAAATACTTTTTCAGAGCACTGTATATAAAAACTATGCATAGCAGATTACAGTTAATAGGCTTGAGTTTTACCTGATCTCTGACTGGTGTAGAACTAACTCATGCTCCTTGTTATACCTGATCTCTGACTGATGTAGAACTAACTCATGCTCCTGGTTATACCTGATCTCTGAGTGTGTGTAGAACTAACTCATGCTCCTTGTTATACCTGATCTCTGAGTGTGTGTAGAACTAACTCATGCTCCTGGTTATACCTGATCTCTGAGTATGTGTAGAACTAACTCATGCTCCTGGTTATACCTGATCTCTGAGTGTGTGTAGAACTAACTCATGCTCCTTGTTATACCTGATCTCTGAGTGTGTGTAGAACTAACTCATGCTCCTTGTTATACCTGATCTCTGAGTGTGTGTAGAACTAACTCATGCTCCTGGTTATACCTGATCTCTGAGTGTGTGTAGAACTAACTCATGCTCCTGGTTATACCTGATCTCTGAGTGTGTGTAGAACTAACTCATGCTCCTTGTTATACCTGATCTCTGACTGATGTAGAACCAACTCATGCTCCTGGTTATACCTGATCTCTGAGTGTGTGTAGAACTAACTCATGGTCCTTGTTATACCTGATCTCTGAGTGTGTGTAGAACTAACTCATGCTCCTGGTTATACCTGATCTCTGAGTGTGTGTAGAACTAACTCATGCTCCTTGTTATACCTGATCTCTGACTGATGTAGAACCAACTCATGCTCCTGGTTATACCTGATCTCTGACTGATGTAGAACCAACTCATGCTCCTGGTTATACCTGATCTCTGAGTGTGTGTAGAACTAACTCATGCTCCTGGTTATACCTGATCTCTGAGTGTGTGTAGAACTAACTCATGCTCCTTGTTATACCTGATCTCTGAGTGTGTGTAGAACTAACTCATGCTCCTGGTTATACCTGATCTCTGAGTGTGTGTAGAACTAACTCATGCTCCTGGTTATACCTGATCTCTGAGTGTGTGTAGAACTAACTCATGCTCCTTGTTATACCTGATCTCTGACTGGTGTAGAACTAACTCATGCTCCTGGTTATACCTGATCTCTGAGTGTGTGTAGAACTAACTCATGCTCCTGGTTATACCTGATCTCTGAGTGTGTGTAGAACTAACTCATGCTCCTTCTGCCGGCTCTGTAGCTGCTCCTTCATCTCTCCATCTCTCTAGAAAAACACAGGCAGCAAGAGTCAGCTTCAGCTTCCCACTAGATTCTGTCATAGGCTGTCAATCATTTTAGGATATGGGTCTAGGGCATATCTACTACAAACCAGCTAGAAATCCAATGTGAAGTTAATAAGGAGTATGTATTGTCATAATAAAACAATATGATTACTCCAGGTACAATACCAATCATAAACAATATATTGAGATTGATCTCATAACAGGATAGGCAACGTCGGGTGTCTGACCTGGCTGGCTGACAGCAGATCTCCCTGTAACTTCTGGATGCGGATGTTCATTGACTTCAACTCCTCCTCCTTCCTCTGTTGAATCTCATCGATTTTGGTCCTGGTGCAGAAAGAATGTATTTTAATCTACCTGTTGTTTTCTTCTCAAATAGCAGTTTTTATTTTGTTACATAAAAAAGTACCACCACCTTCAGAAACTTGGTGAAAGTGAAAAACAAGTTGAATCTTTATACCCTTACCTGCTGTCATTGTAAAGGGCTTCTTTTTCGCCTTGCAAATGCAGAAAGCTATAAAACAAGTCGTAAAGAGCCAGTGAGAAAACTGTTCAACCCTGAAACCACCCAGTAGAGGAGATATAAGACTTCCCCGAGCGGGAGGCCAGGGCTCTGCCGGTGTGAAAAGAGCCCGTAAGGGGAGCTTTGGGCAGACATCTTTGCAGACACAGCAGATGACAGTGACTGCTGGCAAAACAAGTTGAGGTTCAGTCTCATTACTCCCGCCTGCTGACTGTCCACGGGGCCGGAGCCTAGTGTCACATAGCTATACTGAGCCTGAGACGGCTGCCCAATGATGCCAGAGAAATACCACTATAACAGGACAGGGCCCAGGGGCTTATTACTGTCATACTCTGATTTAGTTCATCACAGCTGAGCCAAGGGAACTCAAATACATTAATCCACAATACAATCCATCTATCACGGAATTGTCTTTTAATGCTCTTTGAGTTTTACTTTGTGTAGAACCAAAGAAATGCATTCATAACATTTGCAAGGTAAATAGAATCTTACCTGTCTTGCTTTTTCTTAAATTTTTCAGAGAGCTAGAAGGAAACACATGGACAAAATCAGTGTTCGAAAATAGCTTGCGAAAATAATTTAGACGAATACACTGAAACGGTGACTGAGTTTATCAGGAAGTGTATAGGAGATGTGCCCACTGTGACTATTAAAACCTTCCCTAACCAGAAACCGTGGATAGATGGCAGCATTCGCGCAAAACTGAAAGCGCGAACCACCGCATTGGGAATATGGCAGAATACAAACAGTGTAGCTATTCACTCCGCAAGGCAATTAAACAGGCAAAACATCAGTATAGAGACAAAGTGGAGTCGCAATTCAACGGCTCAGACACGAGACGTATGTGGCAGGGTCTACAGACAATCACGGACTACAAAAGGAAAACCAGCCACGTCGCCGACACCGACGTCTTGCTTCCGGACAAGCTAAACACCTTCTTCGCCCGCTTTGAGGATAACACAGTGCCACCGACGCGGCCCACTACCAAGGACTGTGGGCTCTCCTTCTCCGTGGCCGACGTGAGTAAGACATTTAAGCATGTTAACTCCCGCAAGGCTGTCGGCCCAGACGGCATTCCTAGCTGCGTCCTCAGAGCATGCGCATGTTTACGGACATATTCAATCTCTCCTTATCCCAATCTGCTGTCCCCACATGCTTCAAGATGGCCACCATTGTTCCTGTACCAAAGAATAAAAAGGTAACTGAACTAAATGACTATCGCCCCGTAGCACTCACTTCTGTCATGAAGTGCTTTGAGAGACTAGTCAAGGATCATATCACCTCTACTTTACCTGACACCCTAGGCTCACTTCAATTTGCATACCGCCCCAATAGATCCACAGACAATGCAATCACCATTACACTGCACACTGCCCTATCCCATCTGGACAAGAGGAATGCCTATGTAAGAATGCTGTTCATTGACTATAGCTCAGCATTCAACACCAAGCTCATCATTAAACTCAAGGCCCTGGGTCTGACCCCCGCCCTGTGCAACTGGGTCCTGGACTTCCTGATGGGCCGCCCCCAGGTGGTGAAGGTAGGAAACAACATCTCCACTTCGCTGATCCTCAACACTGGGGCACCACAAGGGTGCGTGCTCAGCCCCCACCTGTACTCCCTGTTCACCCATGACTGCGTGGCCAAGCACGCCTCCAACTCAATCATCAAGTTCGCAGACGGCACAACAGTAGTAAGCTTGATTACCAACAACGACGAGACAGCCTACAGGGAGGAGGTGAGGGCTCTGGGAGTGTGGTGCCAGGAAAATAACCTCTCACTCAACGTCAACAAAACAAAGGAGATGATCGTGGACTTCAGGAAACAGCAGGGTGCACCCCCCTATCCACATCAACGAGACCGCAGTGGAGAAGGTGGAAAGCTTCAAGTTCCTTGGCGTACACATCACTGACAAACTTAAAATGGTCCACCCACGCAGACAGTGTGGTGAAGAAGGCGCAACAGAGCCTCTTCAACCTCAGGAGGCTGAAGACATTTGGCTTGGCACCTAAAACCCTCACAAACTTTTACAGATGCACAATTGAGAGCTTCCTGTCGGGCTGTATCACCGCCTGGTACGGCAACTGCACTGCCCGCTACCGCAGGGACCTCCAGGACACCTACAGCACCCGATATCACAGGAAGGCCAAAAAGATCATCAAGGACATCAACCACCCGAGCCACTGCCTGTTCACCCCGCTATCATCCAGAAGGCGAGGTCAGTACAGGTGCATCAAAGCTGGAACCGAGAGACTGAAAAACAGCTTCTATCTCAAGGCCATCAGACTGTTAAATAGCCATCACTAGCACATTAGAGGCTGCTGCTGCCTATAGAAATCACTGGCCACTTTAAGAAATGGAACACTAGTCACTTTAATAATGTTCACATATCTTGCATTACTCATCTCATATGTATATACTGTATTCTATAATATTCTACTGTATCTTAGTCCATGCCGCTCTGTCATTGCTCGTCCATTATTGTATATATTCTTAATTCAATTCCTTACTTAGATTTGTGTGTATATGTTGTGAAATTGTTAGATATTACTTGTTAGATATTACTGCACTGTCGGAGCTAGAATCACAAGCATTTTGCTACACCCGCAATAACATCTGCTAAACACGTCTATGTGACAAATAAAATGTAATTTGATTTGTTTGATTACATGTAGGGGCCTAGATGCTAACATACACTATAGCCTAATCTATACATTGAAGGACACATCTGATCTTATAGTTACCTTCGATATTTCTTCTTGAAGTTGAGTGATGTCTGCCTGTTTGGATGACTGGAGGAGAGAAGCGAAAGATCTTAGTGCTTAGATGAAGAGACATAGAAATAGCCAACAAATTGTCGTCTGTCCTTAATTGTGCCTTAGGATAGTCTGTCCACAGCGTATCATATTTACACAAACCCACATACACTCAATTAGCCTAGGAAATGGAGGAGGCAGTTAGTGACCATATTTTCTGATATGCAGCTCTGTATCTGAGAGTACATCTTACTGCTTCACTTTGAGGCACTAGCGCTGGTAACATAGAAACTGAAGAAAAAGCTGAACAACAAAAAACGTATAAATCAATCTGGGTCGTTAGCAACTAACCTAGGGTTGTGGATGGGTCGTTAGCAACTAACCTAGGGTTGTGGATGGGTCGTTAACACCTAACCTAGGGTTGTGGGGTGGGTCGTTAGTTACCTCTAGTGCTTGGAGCTGCTCCTTCAGTAGGCGTTTCTCCTCCACCTCAGTGTGCAGCTGCAGTTCCACCTCTGGCCCAAAGCATTGCGTTAATGGATTTGGACACAGTGCTGCCCACCTAAGAGAATCCTGTTTCATAACTAGCCCGGTGGTCGTCACTGCAGGTCCTGCAGGGCACGCAGGTAGCCCATCTTAGTCTTAATCACAGTACCCCAACTCACGTGGTCATCACTTTCTGGGCAAGTGGCAAAGTCATAAACCCCGCCTATTTCTACAATGTGTCTTCTTAAAATCTGATTTTGAACCTAACATTAACCACACTGCTAACCTTATGCCTAACCCTAACCACACTGCTAACCTTATGCCTAACCCTAACCTTAAAATTAAGATTTTTGTTTTCATACATTTTTACAATAATATCCAACTTTGACTTTGCCACTTGCCCATCTAGTGGGAACCCAGTCACACGCTCCTGGCCTGACTGGTCTCTGACAAAAGCTAGGCGCCTGCTGGACACATGCCCCATAGAGCCTGCATAGAGGAACAGTGAACTGGACTATGTCCTATCAGATCGTAAGGAAACCAGCAGGTTAAATTATTAAAGCAACATTTGGTGCTGGGAGTCAACATTGTTAACAAAGACGTCAATGAATTAAGTCAATCACTCTTGTAAAGTAGCAAACAACCAAGGGGGAAAGTTTAAACATTTGCTGTACTAGGCTTTCCAGACTATTTCTGAAGATATATTCTCCATAAGAAAGACTCAACTCACCACTTAGCTCATTCACTCGCAGTTCCAGTTTGGCACACTTTGCCTCTGCCTGGAAAAAACAAAAAGGAAATTAATTTAAGAACAACTCAACACCATACTGCATGCATAATTCAAAAGCGTAATCTAAATATGGGATGATTTGTCAACTAATCCTGTAAATAGATAACAGATACACACAAAACCAACCTGCATGCATAATGCAAAGGCTTGATCTAAATAGGGGCTGATTCATGTGTTGTAATACGCCAGTTGGCGGTCCATACTGTAACGGTTTAATATGTATGTAGAAACATACAGGTACATCATAATGGGCAGAAGAAACAGAGCCTTTTTGCATGTTGAATCAATCAATCAATCAATTTTATTTTATATAGCCCTTCTTACATCAGCTAATATCTCGAAGTGCTGTACAGAAACCCAGCCTAAAACCCCAAACAGCTAGTAATGCAGGTGTAGAAGCACGGTGGCTAGGAAAAACTCCCTAGAAAGGCGAAAACCTAGGAAGAAACCTAGAGAGGAACCAGGCTATGAGGGGTGGCCACTCTTCTGGCTGTGCCGGGTGAAGATTATAACAGAACCATGCCAAGATGTTCAAAAATGTTCATAAGTGACAAGCATGGTCAAATAATAATCAGGAATAAATCTCAGTTGGCTTTTCATAGCCGATCATTAAGAGTTGAAAACAGCAGGTCTGGGACAGGTAGGGGTTCCATAACCGCAGGCAGAACAGTTGAAACTGGAATAGCAGCAAGGCCAGGCGGACTGGGGACAGCAAGGAGTCACCACGGCCGGTAGTCCCGACGTATGGTCCTAGGGCTCAGGTCTCTCAGTTGGCTTTTCATAGCCGATCATTAAGAGTTGAAAACAGCAGGTCTGGGACAGGTAGGGGTTTCGTAACCGCAGGCAGAACAGTTGAAACTGGAATAGCAGCAAGGCCAGGCGGACTGGGGACAGCAAGGTGTCATCATGCCCGGTAGTCCTGACGTATGGTCCTAGGGCTCAGGTTCTCAGAGAGAAAGAGAGAACGAGAGAATTAGAGAGAGCATACTTAAATTCACACAGGACACTGGATAAGACAGGAGAAGTACTCCAGGTATAACCAACTAACCCCAGCCCCCCGACACATAAACTACTGCAGCATAAATACTGGAGGCTGAGACAGGAGCGGTCCGGAGACACTGTGGCCCCATCCGAAGAAACCCCCGGACAGGGCCAAACAGGAAGGATATAACCCCACCCACTCTGCCAAAGCACAGCCCCCGCACCACTAGAGGGATATCCTCAACCACCAACTTACAATCCTGAGACAAGGCCGAGTATAGCCCACAGAGGTCTCCACCACAGCACAAACCAAGGGGGTTTGAACAGAGCAACCAGCTCAATAATGAACAACAACGACCAATGTATACATTTATGTATGCCCGATACAACAGTAGAAGTGCATCTGAGGATATTTTCAAAATGGCAGTTCCATTGAAAAGATTTGTTTATGGTGTCACCTGTTCCAGTCTGTCATTGGTTCTGGCTGCAGCGTCCTCCCTGCTCTCACTGACGTCTGTCTCTGAGGCTTTGGTTTCACTGACCTCCGCTCCCCTTGGGCTCTTTATCTCACTCTCATAACGCTCCTGAAGGGCTGAGGGGAAAACACAGTGATGTAAATAGGATTGGTGGAGATAAAAAAAAAAACTAAATGTGTTGCCATTACCAGATACAGCTCATCTAAGAAATGCCTTTGAAAAAGGTGATTTTCTACAACGATAACCAACATAAAACATACCCGTCATCTTTTTCTGAAGGGCAGCATTCTCTGCCTGGAGGTGCAGTAGCTCTCCATCCACAGAGATGGAGGTGGGACTGGAGGATTCAGCCTGCAGCCCCTTGTCATCCTTTAGCTCTTTGTTTGCATGTTCTAGCTCCTCTATCTGAGTGCATAACTAAAAACACAAAACGGGGGAATGCAATAAATGACTTATAAATATTTCTGTAATATAAAATCAGAAAATGTGATCAGGAAGGTGGGGCTTTTATGTGTTACATAAGCTAGACATAGGATAGGCTTAAATCACATTTTAAAATTTACAAGGACATTCCCCTCTTCTGAAGCGAGGCGCCACAACCCCATCACCAGTGGCATGTGTGGGAGCAGGGGAGAGCCAGTACCTTGGACAGCTCCTGCATCAGGGTGCTGTTCTGCAGTCTGAAGTCGTCCTCTTGGCTGTGCAGCTTGCCTTGCAGCATCTCATTCTCGCTGAGTAAGGCATCCACCTCCTGAGCGCACACACCAGACAGACAACCAACCCATGTAAACAGAAAGTAGACACTCCTCACCTTGAGCTCCAGTGAGGTTTATGACACTTTAATGAAAATTACTGGAACTGTTGACCTAAAAAAAGTATCTTATTAACTATCACACTAACAAATAATACTACTTTTGAGAGCATCCACTGAATAACAATCCAATGAGAAAACACAGGATGACGACTTTATGATCCTCCACATTTCTAGTTTGTATACTCTCACAAAAACACGACAATGTGTACTTTGCTGATTAGAAAGGATGGTGAAAAAGTTAGAGGACAATGCTCTACTTCGATATCATACTTTGATGGGTCTCTACAAATCAGATTTTCCCCAATTTTTCCAAATTATCTTAAATACTCTGGGGAAAGGTGAAATATGCATATTGAAACAGCAGAGGGGGCTGTTGACTGCATTAATATAATATGAATTATAAACCAGGCCCATATACACCACATCCTTATACTACAGTCGTGGTCAAAAGTTGAGAATGACACAAGTATTGGTCTTCACAAAGTTCGCTGCTTCAGTGTTAAGATATTTTTGTCAGATGTTACTATGGTATACTGAAGTATAATTACAAGCATTCCATAAGTGTCAAAGGCTTTTATTGACAATTACATTAAGTTTATGCAAAGAGTCAATATTAGCAGTGTTGACCCTTCTTTTTCAAGACCTCTGCAATCCGCCCTGGCATGCTGTCAAAATGTCGATGTTTTGTTCCCCGAGCCACTTAGTTATCACTTCTGCCTTATGGCAAGGTGCTCCATCATGCTGGAAAAGGCATTGGTCGTCACCAAACTGTTCTTGGATGGTTGGGAGAAGTTGCTCTCGGAGGATGTGTTGGTACCATTCTTTATTCATGGCTGTGTTCTTAGGCAAAATTGTGAGTGAGCCCACTCCCTTGGCTGAGAAGCAACCCCACACATGAATGGTCTCAGGATGCTTTACTGTTGGCATGACACAGGACTGATGGTAGCGCTGACCTTGTCTTCTCCGGACAAGGTGTTTTCCGGATGCCCCAAACAATCGGAAAGGGGATTCATCAGAGAAAATGACTTTACCCCAGTCCTCAGTAGTCCAATCCCTGTACCTTTTGCAGGATATCAGTCTGTTGCTGATGTTTTTCCTGGAGAGAAGTGGCTTCTTTGCTGCCCTTCTTGACACCAGGCCAGCCTCCAAAAGTCTTCGCCTCACTGTGCGTGCAGATGCACTCACATCTGCTTGCTGCCATTCCTGAGCAAGCTCTGCACTGGTGGTGCCCCAATCCCGCAGCTGAATCAACTTTAGGAGACGGTCCTGGCGCTTGCTGGACTTTCTTGGGCGCACTGAAGCCTTCTTCACAACAATTGAACCTCTCTCCTTGAAGTTCTTGATGATCCGATAAATGGTTGATTTAGGTGCAATCTTACTAGCAGCAATATCCTTGCCTGTGAAGCCCTTTTTGTGCAAAGCAATGATGACGGCACGTGTTTCTTTGCAGGTAACCATGGTTAACAGAGGAAGAACAATGATTTCAAGCACCACCCTCCTTTTAAAGCTTCCAGTCTGTTATTCTAACTCAATCAGCATGACAGAGTGATCTCCAGCCTTGTCCTCGTCAACACTCTCACCTGTGTTAACGAGAGAATCACTGACATGATGGCAGCTGGTCCTTTTGTAGCAGGGCTGAAATGCAGTGAAAATGTTTTTGGGGGATTAAGTTCATTTTCATGGCAAAGAGGGACTTTGCAATTAATTGCAATTCATCTGATCACTCTTCATGACATTCTGGAGTATATGCAAATTGCCATCATCAAAACTGAGGCAGCAGACTTTGTGAAAATTAGTATGTGTCATTCTCAAAACTTTTGACCACTGATGTGGAAGAACCTAACGAGTAAATGCACGAAATGAACTTAACAGACAAAGCAGCCCCATTTTCTCTACCTGTAGTTGGGAATAATCCCTTTGCCTTCATTGAGGAAGTCTCTCTATTCATTAAGTTTCACGTTTTACTTGTCACATGCACAAGTACAGTGAAATGCTAAACTTGCAAGCCCTACCCAACAGTGCAGTATTCAATATAAAAAATATAGTAGAACTAATTTTTTTAAAAATAAGAGGGGAGGCTATATATAGTGTCAGTGCCCGTACCAAATTTAAAAAGTGCAGGGATACAGGATTATTTGAGGGAGATACAGTGCAGTCGGAAAGTATTCAGACCCCTTCCCTTTTTCCACATTGTAACGTTACAGCCTTATTCTAAAATGGATTGAATAACTAAAAATCCTCATCAATATACAGACAATACCCTATAACGACAAAGCGAAAAAAGTTAAAAACTTTTGGAAAATGTATTAAAAATAAAAACAGAAAAACCTTATTTACATAAGTATTCAAACCCTTTGCTACGAGACTCGAAATTGAGCTCAGGTGCAATCCTGTTTCCATTGTTCATCCTTGTGATGTTTCTACAACTTGATTGGCATCCACCTCAATTGATTGGACATGATTTGGAAAGGCACACACCTGTCTATATAAGAGCCCACAGTTGACAGAGCATGTCAGAGCAAAGCCATGAGGTCGAAGGAATTGTCCGTAGAGCTCAGAGACAGGATTGTGTTGAGGCACAGATCTAGGGAAGGTTACCAAAACATGTCTGCAGCATTGAAGGTCCCCAAGAACACAGTGGCCTCCATCATTCTTAAATGGAAGAAGTTTGGAACCACCAAGACTCTTCCTAGAGATGGCCGTCCGGCCAAACTGAGCAATCAGGGGAGAAGGCCCTTGGTGAGGGAGGTGACCAAGAACTGGATGGTCACTCTGACAGAGGTCCAGAGTTCCTCTGTGGAGATGGGATAACCTTCCAGAAGGACAACCATCTCTGCAGCACTCCACCAATCATACTTTTATGGTAGAGTGGCCAGACAGAAGCCACTCCTTAGTAAAAAGGCACATGACAGCCCGCTTGGAGTTCGCCAAAAGGTACCTAAAGGACTCTCAGAACATAAGAAGCAAAGATTATCTGGTCTGATGAAACCAAGATTGAACTCTTTGGGCTGAATGCCAAGCTTCACGTCTGGTGGAAACCTGGCACCATCCCTACGGTGACGCATGGTGGTGGCAGCATCATGCTGTGGGGATGTTTTTCAGCGGCGAGGACTGGGAGACTAGTCATGATCGAGGGAAAGATGAACGGAGCAAAGTTCAGAGAGATCCTTGATGAAAACCTTCTCCAGACTGATCAGGACCTCACACTGGGGCGAAGGTTCACCTTCCAGCAGGACAACGACCCTAAGCACACAGCCAAGACAACGCGGGAGTGGCTTCGGGACAAGTCTCTGAATGTCCTTGAGTGGCCCAGCCAGATCCCAGACTTGAACCTGATCGAACATCTCTGGAGAGACCTGAAAATAGCTGTGCAGCGATGCTCCCCATCCAACCTGACAGAGCTTGAGAGGATCTGCAGAGAAGAATGGGAGAAACTCCCCAAATACAGGTGTGCCAAGCTTCTAGTGTCATACCCAAGAAGACTTGAGTCTGTAATCACTGCCAAAGGTGCGTCAACAAAGTACTGAGTAAAGGGTCTGAATTCTTATGTAAATGTGATTTTATTTATTTATTTGTAATACATTTGCAAAAAATTCTGAAAACCTGTTTTTGCTTTGTCATTATGGGGTATTGTGTGTAGATTGATGGGGGGGGGGGGGAAACAATTTAATAAATGTTAGAGTAAGGCTGTATGGTAACAAAATGTGGAATGGTCAAGGGGTCTGAATACTTTCCGAATGCACTGTATGTACATGTAGGCAGGAATTAGGAGAAGGTGACTGGTAGCAGGATAAATAATTATAATTATAATAATAGTAAACAGTATGGCAACATCATAAAGGCGTCCGCATGCTTCCCATCTAAAACAGTTTGTGCATATATTATGACAACATTTTGTGACAGGTTTTTTCCGGCTGTTCGTGCACACGTAATTATTTCTCGAGGCAAGCCGAAGTCAGTAGCTAAACTCTACGCCCCTTCATCGGTGATTGGTCAACAGTCGGGACTCTTCAATTAAGTGTTTTAATCATTCAACGAGAGTTGAATCGTTTTCATGCAAATTTGTTCACTTCTCATGGTATTTAAGGGAGTATGTGAGCCAAACCGAAGCATACGGAAGACTTAGGTGGTGGGTGTGTAAGTGTGCAACAGTGTCAGTGTAGGCACTGCTGCTACTCACTGTTTATCATCTATGCAGTCACTTTACCCCTACCTACATGTACAAATGACCTCCACTAACCTGTACACCCGTACATTGATTGGTTATTGCTATTTTGTGTAACTTTTTATTTATTTTTTACTTTATTTGGTAAATATTTTCTTAACTCGTTCTTGAACTGCAGTGTTGGTTAAGGGCTTGTAAGGAAGCATTTCACGGCAGGTCTACACCTGTTGTATTCGGCTCATGTGACAAATAAAGTTTTATTTTAACTGATTTGATATACATGTAAACAGTGCTGAAAGTGAATGGTAGCAGAAATATATAAATACTTAAACTCAAATAACACTTTATTGGTCACATGCGCCGAATACAACAGGTGTAGATTATACCGTGAAATGCTTACTTACGAGCCCATTCCCAACACTGCAGAGTTAAAAAGTATGAAGAATAGTAACAAAATAAAATAACAATAACGAGGTTATATACAAGGAGTACCAGCACCGATTTAATGTGCAGGGGTACGAGGTAGTTGAGGTAATACAGTATATACATGTAGGTAGGGGTAAAAGTGACTAGGCAATCAGGATGTATAATAAACAGAGCAGCAGAAGCGTAAGTTAAGAGTGTGAAAGTGTGTGTATGCGTTGGAGTGTATGCATTGGATTGTGTGGCTAGAGTCTAGTGAGTGTGCCTCGAGCCAGTGCAACAAAAAAAAAATACATGGTAATATATACAGTACCAGTCAAAAGTTTGGACATACTTACACATTCAAGGGTTTTTCTTTATTTTTACTATTTTCAACATGGTAGATTGATAGTGAAGACATCTAAAATATGACATAACATATGGAATCATGTAGTAACCAAAAAAGTGTTAATCAAATCAACACATATTTTATATTTGAGATTCTTCAAAGTAGCCACCCTTTGCCTTGATGACAGCTTTGCACACACTCTTGACATTCGCTCAACCAGCATCATGAGGAATGCTTTTCCAACAGTCTTGAAGGAGTTCCAACATATGCTGAGTACTTGTTGGCTGCTTTTCCTTCACTCTGCGGTCCAACTCATCCCAAACCATCTCAATTGGGTTGAGGTCAGGTGATTGTGGATGCCAGGTCATCTGATGCAGCACTCCATCACTCCTTCTTGGTCAAATAGCCCTTACACAGCCTGGAGGTGTGTTTTGGGTCATTGTCCTGTTGAAAAACAAATTATAGTCCCACTAAGCGCAAACCAGATGGGATGGCGTATCGCTGCAGAATGCTGTGGTAGCCATGCTGTTTAAGTGTGCCTTGAATTATGAATAAATCACTGACAGTGTCACCAGCAACGCACCCCCACAACATCACACCTCCTCCTCCATGCTTCACGGTGGGAACCACATGCGGAGATCATACGTTCATCTATTCTGTGTCACACAAAGACACGGAGGTTGGAACCAAAGATCTCAAATTTGGACTCATCAGACCAAAGGACAGATTTCCATCGTTCTAATGTCCATTGCTCATGTTTCTTGGCCCAAGCAAGTCTCTTCTTTTATTGGTGTCCTTTAGTAGTGGTTTCCTTGCAGCAAATCGACCATGAAGGCCTGATTCACAGTCTCCTCTGAACAGTTGATGTTGAGATGCGTCTGTTACTTTTATTTGGGCTGCAATTTCTGAGGTGCAGTTACAGTGGCTTGCGTAAGTTTTCAACCTCCTTGGCATTTTTCCTATTTTGTTGCCTTACAACCAGGAATTAAAATGGAATTGTGGGGGGTTTGTATCATTTGATTTACACAACATGCCTACCACTTTGAAGATGCAAAATATGTCTTTGGGTAAAACAAACAAGAAATAAGACAAAAAAACAAAAAACTTGAGCGTGCATAACTATTCACCCCCCCCCCCCCCCCCCCCCCCCAAAGTCAATACTTTGTAGAGCCACCTTTTGCAGCAATTACAGCTGCAAGTCTCTTGGGGTATGTCTCTATAAGCTTGGCACATCTAGCCACTGGGATGTTTGCCCATTCTTCAAGGCAAAACTGCTCCAGCTCCTTCAAGTTGGATGGGTTCTGCTGGTGTACAGCAATCTTTAAGTCCTACCACAGATTCTCAATTGGATTGAGGTCTGGGCTTTGACTAGGCCATTCCAAGACATTTAAATGTTTCCCCTTAAACCACTCAAGTGTTGCTTTAGCAGTATGCTTAGGGTCATTGTCCTACTGGAAGGTGAACCTCCGTCCCATTCTCAAGTCTCTGGAAGACCGAAACAGGTTTTCCTCAATAATTTCCCTGTATTTAGCGCCATCCATCATTCCTTCAATTCTGACCAGTTTCCCAGTCCTTGCTGATGAAAAACATCCCCACAGCATGATACTGCCACCACCATGCTTCACTGTGGGGATGGTGTTCTCGGGGTGATGAGAAGTGTTGGATTTGCGCCAGACAGAACGTTTTTCTTGATGGCCAAAAAGCTCAATTTGAATCTCATCTGACCAGAGTACCTTCTTCCATATGTTTGGGGAGTCTCCCACATGTCTTTTGGCGAACACCAAACGTGTTTGCTTATTTTTTTCTTTCAGCAATGGCTTTTTCTGGCCACTCTTCCGTAAAGCCCAGCTCTGTGGAGTGTACGGCTTAAAGTGGTCCTATGGACAGATAATCCAATCTCCGCTGTGGAGCTTTGCAGCTCCTTCAGGGTTATATTTGGTCTCTTTGTTGCCCCTCTGATTAATGCCCTCCTTGCCTGGTCTGTGAGTTTTGGTGGGCGGCCCTCTCTTGGCAGGTTTGTTGTGGTGCCATATTATTTTCATTTTTTAGTAATGGATTTAAATGGTGCTCCGTGGGATGTTCAAAGTTTCTGATATTTTTTTTGTAACCCAACCCTGATCTGCACTTCTCTGACCTGTTTGGAGAGCTCCTTGGTCTTCATGGTGCCGCTTGCTTGGTGGTCCCCTTGCTTAGTGGTGTTACAGACTCTGGGGCCTTTCAGAACAGGTCTGTATATACTGAGATCATGTGACACTTCAATAAGGTCCACCTGTGTGCAATCTAATTATGTGACTTCTGAAGGTAATTGGTAGCACCAGATCTTATTTAGGGGCTTCATAGCAAAGGAGGTGAATACGAATGCAAGCACCAATTTTCCGTTATTTATTTTTTAGAATTCTTTGAAACAAGTAATTTTTTTCATTTCACTTCACTAATTTGGACTATCTTGTGTATGTCCATTACATGAATTCCAAATAAAAGTCCATTTAAAATGACAGGTTGTAATGCAACAAAATAGGAAAAACGCCAAGGGGGATGAATATTTTTGCAAGGCACTGTAACTCTAATGAACTTATCCTCTGCAGAAGAGGTAACTCTGGGTCTTCCTTTCCTGTGGCGGTCCTCACGAGAGCCAGTTTCATCATAGCGCTTGATGGTTTTTGCGACTGCACTTGAAGAAATGTTCAAAGTTCTTGAAATGTTCCAGATTGACTGACCTTCATTTCTTAAAGTAATGATGGATTGTCGTTTCTCTTTGCTTATTTGAGCTGTTCTTGCCATAATATGGACTTTGTCCTTTACCAAATAGCGCTATCTTCTGTATACCACCCCTACCTTTTCACAACACAACTGGCTCAAACGCATTAAGGAAAGAAATTCCACAAATTAACTTTTAACAAGGCACACCTGTTAATTGAAATGCATTCCAGGTGACTACCTCATGAAGCTGGTTGAGAGAATGCCAAGGGTGTGCAAAGCTGTCATCAAGGCAAAGGGTGGCTACTTTGAAGAATCTCAAATATAACATCTATTTTGATTTGTTTAACACTTTTTTGGGTTACTACATGATTCCATATGTGTTATTTCATAGTTTGATGTCTTCACTATAATTCTATAATGTAGAAAATAGTAAAAATAAAGAAAAACCCTTGAATGATTAGGTGTGTCCAAACTTTTCACTGGTGCTGTACATGTACAGTGCCTTGCAAATGTATTCATCCATCTTGGCGTTTTTCCGATTTTGTTGCTATACAACCTGTAATTTAAATGGATTTTTATTTGGATTTCATGTAATGGACATACACAAAATAGTCCAAATTGGTGAAGTGAAATGAAAAAAATTACTTGTTTGAAAAAATTTGAAAACATAAATAACGGAAAAGTGGTGCGTGCATATGTATTCACCCCCTTTTCTATGAAGCCCCTAAATAAGATCTGATGCGACCAATTACCTTCAGAAGTCACATAATTAGTTAAATCAAGTCCACCTGTGTGCAGTCTAAGTGTCACATGATCTCAGTATATATACACACACCTGTTCTGAAAGGCCCCAGAGTCTGCAACACCACTAAGCAAGCGGCACCACCAAGCAAGCTGCACCATGAAGACCAAGGAGCTCTCCATACAGATCAGGGTTATAAAAAAATATACGAAACTTTGAACATCCCACTGAGCACCATTAAATCCATTATTAAAAAATGGAAAGAATGTGGCACCACAACAAACCTGCCAAGAGAGGGCCGCCCACCAAAACTCACAGACCAGGCAAGGAGGGCATTAATCAGAGAGGCAACAAAGAGACCAAACATAACCCTGAAGGAGCTGCAAAGCTCCACAGCGGAGATTAGAGTAACTGTCCATAGGACCACTTTAAGCTATACACGCCACAGAGCTGGGCTTTACGGAAGAGTGACCAGAAAAAAGCCATTGCTTAAAGAAAAAAATAATCAAACACGTTTGGTGTAAAAAATAAAAATAAAAATAAAAGATGTGTTCGCCAAAAAGGCATGTGGGAGACTCCCCAATCATATGGAAGAAGGCACTCTGGTCAGATGAGATTCAAATTGAGCTTTTTGGCCATCAAGGAAAACGCTATGTCTGGCGCAAACCCAACACTTCTCATCACCCGAGAACACCATCCCCACAGTGAAGCATGGTGGTGGCAGCATCATCATCATGCTGTGGGGATGTTTTTCATCAGCAAGGACTGGGAAACTGGTCAGAATTGAAGGAATGATGGATGGCGCTAAATACAGGGAAATTATTGAGGAAAACCTGTTTCAGTCTTCCAGAGACTTGAGAATGGGACGGAGGTTCACCTTCCAGTAGGACAATGACCCTAAGCATACTGCTAAAGCAACACTTGAGTGGTTTAAGGGGAAACATTTAAATGTCTTGGAATGGCCTAGTCAAAGCCCAGACCTCAATCCAATTGAGAATCTGTGGTAGGACTTAAAGATTGCTGTACACCAGCAGAACCCCATCCAACTTGAAGGAGCTGGAGCAGTTTTGCCTTGAAGAATGGGCAAACATCCCAGTGGCTAGATGTGCCAAGCTTATAGAGACATACCCCAAGAGACTTGCAGCTGTAATTGCTGCAAAAGGTGGCTCTACAAAGTATTGACTTTGGGGGGGTGAATAGTTATACACGCTCAAGTTTTCTGTTTTTCTGTCTTATTTCTTGTTTGTTTCACCCCAAAAAATATTTTGCATCATCAAAGTGGTAGGCATGTTGTGTAAATCAAATGATACAAACCCCCAGAAAAATATATTTTAATTCCAGGTTGTAAGGCAACAAAATAGGAAAAATGCCAAGGGGGGTGAATACTTTCGCGAGCCACTGTAAACAGGAATATTAGTTATTATGGCATATAACATGTATAGCAAGCTAATGTTCATACTATCTTGTCAATATTCTTTTATAGACAGCTTTGAAAGAGTTTTAGAAGATGCAAGTAACCCACCTGAGCTTTCTTGCTTTTATTCAGAGCCTGAAGATAAAACAAAAAGAAAATTAGAAGAAGTCCAAATCACAAACAAAGTGACCTTTTATTCTGTCTCAAACATGATGCCTTGAGTTTCAATGCATTGAACTCCACAACCCTATTATCACCGTTTATTTTATTTTTTTATGTTGATTAGCTTTCTATACCTTCTGTGCTTTGATGTAATCCTTCTCCAAGGTCACAGTCTTCTGACGAACAGCATTCAGCTCTGGAATAGAAATCAACAAAAATCTTGAAAATCTCCAGAGACTAGTATCTTCTTTTCAATCACTGAGACAGAACTAACCCATTTTGATGTTCGATACAGTGCATCACATGGGTTACTATAATACACACACTTGCATTAAGAGGGACACTAAATATGATGTCCATCCTGGAGTTGCATTGCAATGCTCATTTCATTTTAGCAGTAAATATTGATCCCAGTTCAAGGGCACCAACTGAGCTCCAGAACATATTTATATTATGAGCTGTTGCTGCTGCTGCTTACCAGCTGTGTTCTTCCGCAGGTCATCAGAAAGTTGGTAGTTCTGTGTCCTCAGCTCTAAAAGCTGAGCCTGGAGAACAAAAAAAAGGTTATAAGAGGGGATTACATTGTACCAAAGCCTGTAGAAAGTAGTAGGTAAAAGTAAGTAAGCCTTTGACCAGTTAGCCTTGTCCGAGCCAGAACAGCCCATAGGGCAGGAGCCTATCTCCTGTTTCTGTAGGGTGAGGCAGCTTAATGTACACGTATACCCCCTGGACAAGACGCTAGTCTGTAGCAGGGCCTTACCCCCAGTCCATCTCCTTAATTCTGAGTGCCAAGCAGAGAGGCATCAGGTCCCATGTTGAGTCTTTGGTATGACTAGACCAGGGATGAAACCCTCAACCTTCCAATCTTAGGGCAGACACTAACCACAAGGCCACGGAGTTGGTTAAAGCTTGTATAAAGGGTCAACTTAATGAAACATTAAACATCTGACTGTACACTGCTTTGAATGTTAGCTAGGTGTGTTGATGACACAGACACACTGCTTCAGTGTGTAATCAACTGATGTTTCACTTCAACATCACTAATGTGTTGACAGACTACTTTCATACTCTACAGTGCTTTCAATGTTAGCTGGGTGTGTTTATGACACCGTAATAAATGATAATTATTAGAGATGTACTAAACAAGGAACAGTAAAGTTTCTGTTCACATAATCTGATTCAGGTGACTTCAGATGAACAAGCAATGCATTATCTAGGCTAGCTAGCTTTGGGCACTATCTGGTTTGGAAAACTGAACACACCCATTATAATAACAGTGAATGGCATCCAGTCTCTAAAAGCTGTGAGCTAGCATTAGGATAACGTTGAATGACCAACCCCGTGACACATAATCACTCATGGAAAACTATTAGCTATGCTAAATTAACTAGCTAGCTAGTTATAGTTTTATAATAATAAGCCATTTAGCAGACGCTTTTATCCAAAGCGACTTACAGTCATATGGGCATACATTTTTACGTATGGGTGGTCCCGGGGATCGAACCCACTACCCTGGCGTTACAAGCGCCATGCTCTACCAATTGAGCTACAGAGGACCACAATTTTCACTGAATTGATTTATGAAAATGTTGACAAAGGGAGATAAGACAGCAAACAACTATCAGATACGGATGTCTGAAATCAATACCTAACATGAAGCTAACTTTACCATTAATAGCAGATTGTTATGAAGATTAAAGAAGACCAGCGTATGTAATGTCAAGCTAACTAGCTAGGCTAGCCATTTAAACTAGCTAGTTAACTTGCAAACTAGCTAGCTAGCTAACTAGCTAGATAGCTATTTAGCTAGCTGATGTTATTTGAACATTAATCAAACTATTGGGATTACCACATTTGCATGTTTGTATTGAATAATAAAACGATATGACCAAATACTTGAACTGCCTGTTGCTATTGGAAGAGCAATGACTGCTGACACTATCAACATAGCTAGCCACATCCCTGGGTTGCAATGTTGGCCTAGCTAGTAGGGGAAATTACCGCGCATGCTTTTCCGTTCCGTAGTTTAGCTTTGGACTGGTTGACGGAAAATCCAATTTTCAGGAAATACTCGGAAAGTGACAGCAAATTTGAAACAACGGGCCACTAAAAATGTACAGCTGTCAGCCTAGCTACCTGCATCCGATGGAACTCCTCCTCTGATAGTGCCTGCGCCATCTTCACTCAAGGAGCTAGGAAGGACTCTGGTGTTAGCGGAGGTCCTGTGTGGTAAAAGTCGTTTTGGAGAAGTGCGCTTGGGAATAGGCTACAATGTCATGCCATTCTGCATATCCTTATGGAAATCACGACGTAGTTGTATGGGAAATATACATGTATGGGACGACTTGGCTTTTAGATGAGGGAGGAAGTGCACTATCACCATTTCCCCTAATCTAAACATTACTCCATAGCCAGGTATTGTCATTGCAATAATCACACCTGTCCAGTAGATGAAGTCCAGATCCGTAACACACCGTGGAGGTGCGTCGAGCAGTGACTTACCAAGTGATTGTGAACTGCGAACTTATTGGTCCATTTTAATTAAGCCTTTGTTTGCTGTGATTGGTTGCATGTGTTATGACACTAATGGTTTGTTGGGCCTGATAGTTTGTATGATTGTGGCTAGTGGCTGGCTCGCAGTACAGCTCCATCTAGTAGTGGCGTCATGGATAACGGTTGTTGACAACTGTAGCATTTTAGCTAAGCCTATCCCCTTTCTTAACCTTATTATCCTAACCTGCTACTTTAATTCTACTATGCTGCATTTATTCTCCTAACCTGCTGTGTTAGTTATCCTAACCTGCTAAGTAAAGTCATGTCTGTCCGTAACTGGGTTAGGCTTAGCTAAAATGCTGCAGTTGTCAACAAACCATCAGTCTCAACAAACCATCAGTATCAACAAACCATCAGTATCAACAAACCATCAGTGTCAACAAACCATCAGTCTCAACAAACCATCAGTATCAACAAACCATCAGTGTCAACAAACCATCAGTATCAACAAACCATCAGTCTCAACAAACCATCAGTATCAACAAACCATCAGTCTCAACAAACCATCAGTCTCAACAAACCATCAGTATTGTCGTAGTAAATATGACCCATTTTAATGTTAGGAGCTTGTTTTCAATCAATGCTGTTCCTATGCAAGAACAATGGACAGAGCCAATATCTTCTCAAGGACAACACCCACGCCACAGGCCACAATCTGGTTGCTCCCCACGAGTCTTTCCTTTGAGAACATACACCCCATTCAACACACACATCTCCATGCATACGCACACTCATCCTCATGCCTCACGAGTTACGCCCCACACACAACTGCACTTCTTTCTACTGGTCGGTGCCAAGGGCAGAGGACTCTGCCGTGCACCAAAGGGGCTTCTACTCTGGACAGAGCAGACCCGCCTCCTACGCTCGGGAACCAATCAAGGGACTAGAAGAAGGACCCCCTTCCTTTGTGTTACATTGTATAAGTAATGCTGTAAACTCTGTTTTTTATCCCTTTTCAACTGTCTCCATAAGAGGCAACTGAATGGGTCCATGCATGTAGCTTGAGCAGTACCAGCTATCTCTGTTGTTTAATAAACTGCCTTTTGCTTAAGCATATTCCTCTCTGTCTAGCGTCGTTGGTTTGTACTTCCTCTCCTTATGGTTCCACCAACAGTATCAACAAACCATCAGTCTCAACAAACCATCAGTCTCAACAAACCATCAGTATCAACAAACCATCAGTATCAACAAACCATCAGTCTCAACAAACCATCAGTATCAACAAACCATCAGTATCAACAAACCATCAGTCTCAACAAACCATCAGTATCACAACCATCAGTATCAACAAACCATCAGTCTCAACAACCATCAGTATCAACAACCATCCCATCAGTATCAACAAACCATCAGTCTCAACAAACCATCAGTATCAACAAACCATCAGTCTCAACAAACCATCAGTCTCAACAAACCATCAGTATCAACAAACCATCAGTGTCAACAAACCATCAGTATCAACAAACCATCAGTCTCAACAAACCATCAGTATCAACAAACCATCAGTATCAACAAACCATCAGTCTCAACAAACCATCAGTATCAACAAACCATCAGTCTCAACAAACCATCAGTATCAACAAACCATCAGTATCAACAAACCATCAGTCTCAACAAACCATCAGTATCAACAAACCATCAGTCTCAACAAACCATCAGTATCACCACACAGGTATGAGGAGAATACACCTCCACCTGTACTTACTATGGTGGTGCGTTTTCCAGAGGCAGAGGGAAAGTGTTGCACCAGCAATAGTGTTTGAACCAACATTTCAGTATCAAAGTTGAGTTGACAACCCTTTTTCCAGTCTCTGTTTTGAGTGTAGGCCTAACTGGTGGCTGTGTGAATGTGGAGACAGATAGGCTAGCCATTTATTTTATTTTTGTCATTGCATCTGAGAAAAAAAAATAAACGTGCTGTTGAGGAGGCATATTCTGATGGAACCGTTACAGTTTCAATAAACCATGCATCGATATGCCGCCCTTCCCCAATAGGAATTGTAGGCTATAGCAGTAGAATAAACGCCCATCTAATACAGACAGTACATTTTTACTATGGCGGTGAATGTTTTGCAAGTTGGTTTCATCTGCTCAGAATACTATCCGAGCACACCCTGGAATAAAACAAAAATAGGCTTTGAGTTCATACACTGATCCTCATCACTGACATGTGTTTACTACTCCTACGGACAATGTAATAAACCACATATGATATATATTTTTAGAAAGTGTCAGGCTAATCAAAATCCCCGAGAATCTTATCAGGCTGCAAGTTTTAGGACTCCATATTAGTCTACATTTGATTCGTGTATTGATAGCCTGCTTGATAACTTTATAATAAAACATTATTTAACTGGATAACTAACGTATAATAAAGCTTTTGAAAATGCGTTAAATGCTTTTTGAAGATGCTTTGAATATTCTTGTTGGCAAATAATAAATAAGCTATACATTTTTCAAACTGTTGTAGTACTAGTGTATTGGAGTTTATGTGAAAGTTCCTCCCCTGTGTTTTGACGCAAATAAATAAGCCAGTAGCTTTCAATGCGGAAATGACTGCACCACAGTGACATAAGGAACGGTTCCAAGATGTACACGCGGAACCTAGGCTAATAATCGCACTAGAGATGGAGGCGGCAAAGCGCTCTGCGTTTGTTTAGAATTTATATAGTGGCCGCCCATTGCCTGCATTTAAAAAGTTAAATTGACATCCCTAGCCGCAGCACGGATGGATCACCTATCGAGGTTCGTAGGTCAGATGTCCTTGGCAGATGACAGCAGAGCAGAGGGCATCATCTCATCCGAGTATAGTGTAAGTGAGAATCACCATACCTGTATATTCTCAGTTTATAATTAATTCCCATAGAAAGACAATAAGACCAGGTAATATTTTCTGATGAAAAAATGTATGATTTATGGCATGTGCACAGCACTTCATGGGACTTTTACATTGCAATTGTATTCATCAGTTGATTGCAAATAACTGGTTGAAGAATGTCAAAAGATTGTGTGTACACTGTGCATGATGCACAACATCACAGGTTGCACATCATGCACTGGTTCACTTGTAGATAAGGGTGGGAAACCTGAGAGGTATGATGATTTAAAAAAAGGAAACGTAGGCTACTGAATTGTTTGTTTGTATGTTAAAGCTGCTAATCATGTTGGCTTGCTTTCTGTATAGTATAATTCAATGCATGTTGTAACTTTAATGCAATTAACAAAAACCTTCTTTCAAATCAGTGGCCTCTGTCTTTAAGGCACATACAGAAGTGAACCTTGCTTATTTAGTTTTGTTTTGACATTACACTGAACTGAATAGCGAAATTTGCAGAACTATACAGTATTTTGTTAAACTACTGTAGGCTATTGTTCTTCTTACATCTGAACCTCTGTACGTGTCAAGATAGGTAGGCTATTCCTTTTTTTCCTCATTTAGCTTCCAAAGTTCCAAAGTAAGTTGTTTATTAACAATGAGGCCACTATGTGAAACATTTCCTTGTTGCAGCTAGTAGGCTGTTGCATAAGGTTATTTATTGACAGTGTTCTATTATGAGGGATGCCAGTGTTAGGTTCTTATCAGTAAACATGATTCTGTTTACTGTTTGTTCGTTGAATTAATGACAGTAATGACTGAAATAGTAATACATGTGAACTATTTTTTAACCAGCCTCATTCAAGAGACTAAGAATGTGCAAAGTGAGAAATGGTGGTAATGTAATAAAGTACTTATGTCTATATTAGGTCATGAAGAAAGCTGTGATATTGTAGCAGTATTATTTACGTCCCTCTCCTCGCCCGAACCTGGACTTTAATTAGCGACACTGAACTCAACAACTGCCTCCCACGGAGCATCGTTACCTGTCGCTCAACAAAAGCCATCGATTGTACTCCCACTAGCGCGCACCGCTAACTAGCTAGCCATTTCACACTGGTTACATTATCACATACAGTGCTTTCAGAAAGTATTCACACCCCTTGACTTTTACACATTTTGTAGTGTTAAAGACTGAATTTTAAATAGATTATTTTGTCACTGGCCTATACATTTAGATTTTTTTTGTCACTGGCCTAAACATAATACCCTATAATGTCAAAGTGGAATTATGCTTTTCAAAATGTTTACAAATTAATTGAAACTGAAAAGCTGAAATCGCTTGAGCCAATAAGTATTCAACCCCTTTGTTATGGCAAGCCTAAATAAGTTCAGGAGTAAAAATGTATACATAATAACTCTGTGTGCAATAATAGTGTTTAACGTGATTTTTGAATTACTACCTCATCTCTGGACGCCACACATACAATTATCTGTAAGGTCCCTTAGTCGAGCAGTGAATTTCAAACACAGAGTCAACCACAAAGACCAGGGAGGTTTTCCAATGCCTCGCAAAGGGAACCTATTGGTAAAAAATAAATACATAATAATAATATCCCTTTGAGCATGGTGAAGTTATGAATTACACTTTGGATGGTATATCAATACACCCAGTCACTACAAAGATACAAGCGTCCTTCCTAACTCGGTTGCCGGAGAGGAAGTAAACCACTCGGATTTAACCACGGTGGTGATTTTAAAACAGGGTCGAGTTTAATGGCTGTGATAGGAAGAAACTAAGGATGGATCAACAACATTATAGTTACTCCACAATACTAACCTAATTTACAGAGTGAAAATAAGGAAGCTTGTACAGAATACAAATATTCCAAAACGTGCATCCTGTTTGCAACAAGGCACTAAAGCACGGCTCTCCAACCCTGTTCCTGGAGAGCTACCGTCCTGTAGGTTTTCACTTTAACCCTAATCTAGCTCACCTGATTCTAATAATTAGCTGGTTGATAAACTGAATCAGGTTAGTTTCAACTAGGGGTGGAGCGAAAATCTACGGGAGGGTAGCTCTCCAGGAACAGGGTTGCAAAACACTAAAGTAATACACAGGGTTGCAAAACACTAAAACACTAAAGTAATATTGCAAAACATTTGGCAGAACAGTTACGTTTTTGTCCTGAATACATTGACATTTTTACATTTTAGTCATTTAGCAGACGCTCTTATCCAGAGCGACTTACAGTTAGTGCATACATTATTTTATTTTTCATACCCCGTGGGAATCGAACCCACAACCCTGGTGTTGCAAACACCATGCTCTACCAACTGAGCTACATCCCTTACAAAGTGTTATGTTTGGGGCAAATCCAATACAACACATTACTGAGTAACACTCTCCATATTTTCAAGCATCATGTTAAGGGTATGCTTATAATCGTTAACAACTGGGGAGTTTTTCAGGATAAAAAAGAAACCGAATGGAGATAAGCACAGGCAAAATCCTAGAGGAAAACCTGGTTCAGTCTGCTTTCCAACAGACACTGGGAGATGAATTAGTTTTACTTTCAAATTTTTCTTCCACTTTAACATTACAGATTATTTTGTGTAGATCATTGACAAAAAATACAATTAAATCCACTTTAATCCCACTTTGTAACACAACAAAATGTGGAAAAAGTAAAGAGATGTGAATACTTTCTGAAGGCACTGTGCAGTAGCCTAACACAGATATCTGTGACGAAAATCAGACACCACAGAGTTATGTCTTTCTGGCATCTGGTTGCTACAACCTTTCTGACATCTGGTTGCTACAACCATTCTGGCATCTGGTTACTACAACCTTTCTGACATCTGGTTACTACAACCTTTCTGGCATCTGGTTGCTACAACCTTTCTGACATCTGGTTGCTACAACCTTTCTGACATCTGGTTGCTACAACCTTTCTGGCATCTGGTTGCTACAACCTTTCTGACATCTGGTTGCTACAACCTTTCTGGCATCTGGTTGCTACAACCTTTCTGGCATCTGGTTGCTACAACCTTTCTGACATCTGGTTGCTACAACCTTTCTGGCATCTGGTTGCTACAACCTTTCTGGCATCTGGTTGCTACAACCTTTCTGATATCTGGTGGCTACAAGTATATTTCCACTCAGGGGTCTTTCATTTCTCAGAAACTGTACATCTCAAAATAAATAGCAAACCACATTCTTACTGTTGCGTGTCATCGACTGTCAGCTATATTAGCTCCTGCATAAGTTTGATTGTGAGTTCTTGCACTAAGCTAAGGACTTCTTATATGTTTCTTGTGCAACATCTTAAATATCTCTGTATGCTACTTGTCTTGAAAATATTTTTTGTGACAAAAGGGATGAGGGAATATGGCTATTATCTGGTTACTAATGTGTAAAGATTGGTTTAGTTTGACCCTACCTGAGACTTCCTTCATTCAAGGTTTCTGCTCTCAATCTAGTTCTACTTAATTACAGTTTCACAATCATGAAAGTTGCTCCAAATCTCATCTCAGCTTCCCTGTCTCTTTGTGTTTGTAGAAAATCCGTGCTCGGACTTCCATCATCAAGAAAGATCTTGGCCTTACGACGGAAGCAGGGGCACTGAAGCACAATGTAAAGAAGAATCGTTACAAAGACATTTTACCATGTAAGCACAACGATGGATACTTAAAGAACGTTATTGGTTTTTACTCTAATTGAAAATGAGAAACTCATGTATTTTTATATAGATGACCAGACCCGTGTGCCCCTAACTCTACTGACGAATGAGAATGATTCTGACTATATCAACGCCAGCTTTATTAAAGTACAGTATTGCTTTCTCTCATTCAGTAAATCCTATTGCGTATCATTCAGCTCAGTCTGAAGCTGAATATTCTGCTATATCTGGTTTGTCCTCTAGGGTGCAACAGAGACCAGAAAATACATAGCGACCCAAGGGCCTCTGAGCCACACTTTGGTTGACTTCTGGCAAATGATTTGGCAGTATGATGTAAAGGTAAGGAAGATAGTATTCAGCTTTCCTATCAATGTAGTACCGCGTGTACAGTACCTCTGTTACCATGTCATTGTAACATGTAACATTTAAGGGGGGGAAAAAAGAGTTCACAGATGAAGAATGGGAAAATTGTCTCCAAATCTAATGTTACCTCTATTGTCTATCCCTATTTAGGTTATAATCATGGCTTGCAGAGAAATTGAAATGGGAAAGGTAAATGCCCTTTTAATCACCTCTGAATAAAAACAAGTTAAAGTGGAAGTGTGAACATATTAGTGTACTGTATGATTTAGAAACTTTAATGCTTGTGTCCACTTGACTCATAACATTGTATTTGTTTCGGTGTCTTTTTTCTTTAGAAAAAGTGTGAGCGCTATTGGACAACTGTCCTAGAAACAACCCCTTTTGGTCCCTTTATTGTCTCAAACGTAAGTTTTTGTCAGTGCCTTCGGAAAGGATGCAGATCCCTTGACTTTTTCCACATTTTGTTATGTTACAGCCTTATTCTGAAATTGATTAAATGAAAAACTGTCCTTAGCAATCTACACACAATACCCCATAATGACAAAGCGAAAACAGGTTTTTAGAAATGTTTGCTAATTTATTTAAAAAATACAAACAGAAATACCTTATTTACATAAGTATTCAGACCCTTTGCAATGAGACTCAAAGTTGAGCTCAGGTGCATTCCTGTTTCTATTGATCATCCTTGAGATGTTTCTACAACTTGATTGGAGTCCACCTGTGGTAAATTCAATTGATTGGACATGATTTGGAAAGGCAGACACCTGTCTATATAAGGTCCCACAGTTGACAGTGCATGTCAGAGCAAAAACCAAGCCATGAGGTCGAAGGAATTGTCCGTAGAGCTCCAAGACAGGATTGGGTCGAGGCACAGATCTGGGGAAGGGTACCAAAAAAGGTCTGCAGCATTGAAGGTCCCCAAGAACACAGTGGCCTCCATCATTCTTAAATGGAAGAAGTTTGGAACCACCAAGACTCTTCCTAGAGCTGGCCGACCGGCCAAACTGAGCAATCGGGGGAGAAGGGGCTTGGTCAGGGAGGTGACCAAGAACCCAATGGTCACTCTGACAGAGCTCCAGAGTTCCTCTGTGGATATGGGAGAACCTTCCAGGACAACCATCTCTGCAGCACTCCACCAATCAGGCCTTTATGGTAGAGTGACCAGACGGAAGCCACTCCTCAGTAAAAGGGACATGACAGCCCTCTTGGAGTTTGCCAAACGGCACCTAAACACTCTCAGACCATGAGAAACAAGATTCTCTGGTCTGATGAAACCAAGATTGAACTATTTGGCCTGAATGCCAAGCATCAAGTCTGGAGGAAACCTGGCACCATCCCTACAGTGAAGCATGGTGGTGGCAGCATCATGCTGTGGGGATGTTTTTCAGCGGCAGGGACTGGGAGACTAGTCATGATCGAGGCAAAGATGAACGGAGCAAAGTACAGAGAGATCCTTGATGAAAACCTGCTCCAGAGCCTCAGACTGGGGTGAAGGTTCACCTTCCAACAGGACAACAACCTTAATCACACAGCCAAGACAAGGCAGGAGTGGCTTCGGGACAAGTCTCTGAATGTCCTTGTGTGGCCCAGCCAGAGCCCGGACTTGAACCCGATCGAACATCTCTGGAGAGACCTGAAAAAGCTGTGCAGCAACGCTCCCCATCCAACCTGACAGAGCTTGAGAGGATCTGCAGAGAAAAATGGTAGAAACTTCCCAAATACAGATGTGCCAAGATTGAGGCGTCATACCCAAGAAGACTCGATGATGTAATCGCTGTCAAAGGTGCTTCAACAAAGGACTGAGTAATGGGTCTGAATACTTATGTACATTTGATATTTCCGTTTTTTGTTTTTACTAAATTAGCAAACATTTCTAAAAGCCTGTTGCTTTGTCATTATGGGGTATTGTGTGTTGATTGATGAAGGAAAAAAATGATTTAATAAATTTGAGAATAAGGCTGTAACGTAACAACATTTGGAAAAAGTCAAGGAGTCCAAACACTTTCCGAAGGCACTGTACCTTAATTGTATTGTATACTGTGAAGATACACAGACCACAGACTTTCTAGCACCATTGACACAACTTTCAGTTGATGCAGATTTGTCTGCTTAGTTGTATTACTATTCATCAAGTAGTCTGTCTAGACAGATGGGTTGCCTCCCACAATGTTACCAAAGTTCCAGCATGCACAGAGTGCTGTCCCACTGGGCACAGACGTCAATATAACGTATAGTCCACGTTGGTTCAGCTTCATTTCATTGAAATGATGTGGAAACAACATTGATTCAACCAGTGTGTACCCAGTGGGGTTGTTCTATGTTCTATAGTCTTGGTTAACCGAGACTATTCATGAACAGTTCCCTTTTTACCCAACAGCCTCCACAGATGATGTGTCAGTTCCTGTGTACTACGTTTACTCAGTTGGTTATTTACATTTTACATTTTACATTTTACATTTTAGTCATTTAGCAGACGCTCTTATCCAGAGCGACTTACAGTTAGTGAGTGCATACATTTTTTTTTGTTTCATACTGGTCCCCCGTGGGAAACAAACCCACAACCCTGGCGTTGCAAATGCCATGCTCTACCAACTGAGCTACACGGGACAACATGGCATATCGACCCACATGTTGTTGTCTGAATGAAATCACAGGGACCTGTTTAAGGAAACACTAGAACATTTTTATTGAAATATTATCATGTCTTTGCAGCTTGAGGAATCAAAACCAAATGAGGAAGTAGTCATGCGGACTCTGACAGTGAGATATCATAATGTAAGTGTCCAACTGTGAAAAGGGTATTATTTTGTGTTGTTTTCTGTCAGCAGCACTAGTCAAAGAATTCTTAAAAATTGTAGAAAACAATCAGTGTTATTTTCTAACAACCACTATCCTCTTTGGATAATCTCACATTATTTGTTGGTATCCAGGAAGTTGAATGAGAGGGAGCCAGTGAAGTCACATTATTTGTTGGGATCCAGGAAGTTGAATGAGAGGGAGCCAGTGAAGTCATATGCAAACCATGTTTTCTGCTTGTCTAGGAAACACGGACTATCTCTCAATTCCAATACACAGCTTGGCCTGATCATGACATTCCATACACAGCTGGTGGTATTTTAGGAATGATGGATATGGCTCGCAAAGCCCAGGGAAACAACACTAGCCCAATTCTCATCCACTGCAGGTCTGTTTGTCCCCATTACATGACGTACAACACAGCCCTATGATTACTGTCTGCCCGGTGGACTTGTGCTCTGAAATGAAATTGACACTTTTCAGAGACAGATTATGATCCATATGGCCATTAAAATGTATCAATGCATATCATTCAATGTTGTTTTATCACAAGGCCACATGTACTCCTTGAGCGCCATGCATTTTAATGATGCCATTTAGATCAAGTGAGACATGTTAAATATTCAGGACCTGATGGGGTCTACCATGTCATATCCAGACTTGTGTTCATGTTGTGAACTTCTCTGGTAATATTTTAGTACTATCAGAGACTGAATGGAGCAGACCATACCATGTATTTGGTTGTGTTTTGTGTTTTCAGTGCTGGTTGTGGAAGAACAGGGGTGATTTGTGCCCTGGATTATGTCCATGATCTTCTTGTGACAAAGGTATTACTTATGTTCACTGCATTAAATTGATGGCATCATTTAGGGAATTGGTTTTACAAGACCTTTGTAGACTGCAACTAAAAACAATAGAACGGCAAAAGATTTTAAAAAATATATGTGGATATGAGTGTCTTGACTAATACATTCTCATATTTCTACACCAGCAAATCAAAGAAGATTTCAATATCATGAAGATTGTAGTGGAACTAAGGAGACAGAGGCCATCAGCTGTTCAGACAAAGGTATGTTATTATCAGACAGAATGAAATATGAGAAATGTTGTTTATTTACTGCTAGGTGTTATATATCATGCATTAAATACTGTCATTCTCTCCTGTGGAAATGTTGGCTTCAATCATCTGTTTTTCCATCTCTCCACCCAGGAGCAGTATCAGTTTGTGTTTTCTGCCGTGGCTTACATGTTTGAGAAGGCTTTACGGTCACCTGAGAACAACTACCAGAATCTCACCAAGGTAAGACAGAAACAGCAGGAAAACTGCTGCTGTTGTTCAACCATACAGTATCAGGTTTTTGTCATTGCTATCTCCAACCGACAGATGTTAGCCTTTCTAAAGGCAAAATACAACACAGTATTCAACAAATGCCATACTAGCGTTCATGTTCAAGCGAGCTTTACTAGAACAATAAGACATGAGAGGGCATGCAGTATTATGGGGATTATTGGCATGTCTGTGATGCGGTCAGATGCCGCGTTTACACAGGCAGCCCAATTCAGATCTTTTGCCGCATTAGATCAGATCTTTTGCCAATAATTGGGCAAAAGATCAGAAATGGGCTGCCTGTGTAAACGCAGCCAAAGGTACAAGGCAAAGCTGACACCATCTGTTATAAAAACCCTCCTTTCTTTTCCTTGTGTCATCCATTTAATCTGATCATATTACACTTCCGTCTGATATTTCAATGTGATGAGTGGAGTAAAAAGAAAAGAAAAAAACTGTTACGTAGGACACCAGCCATCATGCTTCCTCTCTATGCAAATATTGGCACATAGAAGATGATTGTTCACACATTTTCATACAGAGCCTGAACTTTAGAGACACAGTCCTATACCTCTCTGATCCTAAACTGCCTATGTTGTTGTTAATAGAGTAACCAACCTCTCTATGATGACGTTGAGTCTGTGAAGACCCCTCCAGCAATAACATCAGCCATCGCTCAGCCACTTGAAAAAAGGTAGGAGCAAGTATTCTTTCTTTGTTCAGTATGATGTGTGATGTTCATCAACATACACACAATAACAACAACAGTTGTGACTTTAATAAGCAGCCTGAGATAATGATATACCACAGTCAGGTGCTCAGATACAATGTGGAGAGGTTGACTTTCAGGTTGAGAGAGAGAGAGAGAGAGAGAGAGAGAGAGAGAGAGAGAGAGAGAGAGAGAGAGAGAGAGAGAGAGAGAGAGAGAGAGAGAGAGAGAGAGAGAGAGAGAGAGAGAGAGAGAGAGAGAGAGAGAGACTCTCTTAGGGAAGGAAGTGAGCTTCCTGTTTTGTACAAGTGATTCCACTGTCATCTATTTCAGTTGGCTGTACAACAGTATTTGCAGTTTTAGTGTATATAGGCTTATCAATACTAAGTAATGTATTAATATTTTCACTGATTAAGATTGATTGATTAAGTAGATTATTACAAAATACAGTAGATGTGATATGCACCTGCCTTGACAATTAAGCAAACAGTATTAAAGTTGCAATATGTAACCTTTTGGGCGAACGACCAAATTCACATACAGTGAGGGAAAAAAGTATTTGATCCCCTGCTGATTTTGTACGTTTGCCCACTGACAAAGACATGATCAGTCTATAATTTTAATGGTAGGTTTATTTGAACAGTGAGAGACAGAATATGAAACAAAAAAAATCCAGAAAAATGCATGTACAATTTAAAAAAAATTGATTTGCATTTTAATGAGGGAAATAAGTATTTGACCCCTCTGCAAAACATTACTTAGTACATGGTGGCAAAACCCTTGTTGGCAATCACAGAGGTCAGACGTTTCTTGTAGTTGGCCACCAGGTTTGCACACATCTCAGGAGGGATTTTGTCCCACTCCTCTTTGCAGATGTTCTCCAAGTCATTAAGGTTTCGAGGATGACATTTGGCAACTCAAACCTTCAGCTCCCTCCACAGATTTTCTATGGGATTAAGGTCTGGAGACTGGCTAGGCCACTCCAGGACCTTAAAGTGCTTCTTCTGGAGCCACTCCTTTGTTTCCTTGGCCGTGTGTTTTGGGTCATTGTCATGCTGGAATACCCATCCACGACCAATTTTCAATGCCCTGGCTGAGGGAAGGAGGTTCTCACCCAGGATTTGAAGGTACATGGCCCCGTCCATCGTCCCTTTGATGCTGTGAAGTTGTCCTGTCCCCTTAGCAGAAAAACACACCCAAAGCATAATGTTTCCACCTCCATGTTTGACGGTGGGGATGGTGTTCTTGGGGTCATAGGCAGCATTCCTCCTCCTCCAAACACGGCGAGTTGAGTTGATGGCAAAGAGCTCGATTTTGGTCTCATATGACCACAACACTTTCACCCAGTTCTACTCTGAATCATTCAGATGTTCATTGGCAAACTTCAGACGGGCCTGTATATGTGCGTTCTTGAGCAGGGGGACCTTGCGGGCGCTGCAGGATTTCAGTCCTTTACGGCGTAGTGTGTTACCAATTGTTTTCTTGGTGACTATGGTCCCAGCTGCCTTGAGATCATTGACAAGATCCTGCCGTGTAGTTCTGGGCTGATTCCACACCGTTCTCATGATCATTGCAACTCCACGAGGTGAGATCTTGCATGGAGCCCCAGGCCGAGGGAGATTGACAGTTATTTTGTGTTTCTTCCATTTGCGAATAATCGCACCAACTGTTGTCACCTTCTCACCAAGCTGCTTGGCGATTGTCTTGTAGCCCATTCCAGCCTTGTGTAGGTCTACAATCTTGTCCCTGACATCCTTGGAGAGCTCTTTGGTCTTGGCCATGGAGGAGAGTTTGGAATCTGATTGATTGATTGCTTCTGTGGACAGGTGTCTTTTATACAGGTAACAAGCTGAGATTAGGAGCACTCCCTTTCTCAGCTCGTTACCTGTATAACAGACACCTGGGAGCCAGAGATCTTTCTGATTGAGAGGGGGTCAAATACTTATTTCCCTCATTAAAATGCAAATCAATTTATAACATTTTTGACATGCGTTTTTCTGTTTTTTTTTGTTGTGATTCTGTCTCTCACTGTTCAAATAAACCTACCATTCAAATTATAGACTGATCATGTCTTTGTCAGTGGGCAAACGTACAAAATCAGCAGGGGATCAAATACTTTTTTCCCTCACTGTAGAAGTTTAAGTTATAGATATGTCATTCTCATTGAAAGCAAGTCTAAGAAGCGATAAAGCTGTTCTATGTGCACTATTTCTATGCTTCCCGTTTTTAAGTTTCGTTTGCTCATTTACTTTCGGTTTTGTACACCAGCTTCAAACAGCTGAAAATACAATATTTTTGTTTATGGAAAATACATTTCATGCGGTTTCGATAGTACAATGATTCTCTACACTATACTTGCTTGTTTTGTCACATAAACTGAAATTAGGCTAATTTTAGCAACCAGGAAATGGCTGAGCGATTTCTGCATAGTATCTTTAATATTGAGAAATGTACTGTATATTCAAATACATTGTTGTGGTACACATTCAAGATCTTAAAGTAAAATGTACTTTAAGCCAGTTAGTTTTAGTTAAATTTGACAGAACTTTAGGGAAACATGATTAATGGAACAGAAGGATTTCACCATTCCTGTACCACTAAACATTCATCATGCTGCAGAGGAAGTGACACACTGGGCTGTTAAACACTTTCACATCCTCTCTCCTCCCTCCAATATGTTAAACTGTTACCAAGAACCCGTCAGCTCGTATCACAGGCTTAAATAAAAAATGATCTATTTCTCTGTAAACATGGTCAAAGAGTCAGTAGGAAATCGATATTGTAGCACTGAAATTCTTAATCAATCTTAATTCTATAATCTATACCGATATACTAATGGTAAGAATCCACTGTAGAAGCCCCAGAAAGAAAACAGACTAGATCATGAAAATTCAGTCACATGTATAAAGTCATGGCCATCTTAGAGCAGAAACGATAAGGCCACATTTGTACTTTTTACTTCTTACTGTTGGTGGAATTGTTGATGTCTACTCCTCTTTAGAAATTCTAGTGTGCAGTCCAGAGTGCCTCAACCACGCCAGCAGAAGATGGATGACACCTATGCTGTGGTCAACAAGTCCAAACAGCTTCCGCCACCAGCCTCTTCCTCGGCTCTTCCAGCCGCTCTCCATCACTATGACAACGCAGAGCTGGGCACCACGAACTGCCCTGCCACTGCTCTCTATAGCACGGTCAAGCCCAAGAGCAGGTGTCCTCCAGCCAATCCACCTCCAGCCTCACCCTTATATGACACAGCTAGACCAGCCAATCACAGGCTAGCTGAGGCCTCGTCAGGGAAGGAGCAGAGTGACTATGAGCAGGTCACAGGTGAGAGCATTTTAGGGAGACCAATGTGAGGCCAGCTCTGATTTTGTTTTAGTCATTATGCCCTGCACAGAATATCCAGTCTTTTAAAAGAGCATTGCAATCTAATTTAGATCTAGTAACCTCAGTCCAGTACTGTGAAACACTGGTGAAATTGTGTAATGTGTATTACGAGGGAGTACACTGGCATTTTAAGTAATACATCAATGCTAAAAGTAATTTGAGTTCAGTTTCTTCAGTTTCTTTTCAGTAACAATTCCTTGACAACCATATTGAGCTGTTTATGTGGGAAATGTTTTACTGATTCTTACTGTTTGCTTTTTTCTAGCTGAGCATCATTCTTCGACGGAAGATCACTATGAATATGTCTCAAATCCCATCAAAGACATGACCAACAGCTGTACTCCTGGTAGCATGGGTGAATAGCTGCTCGTGTTTGTGATACTATTATCCAATGCCATTTACTGTTACCATCCCATGATATTATAGCCACCCAATGTAATATTGTTAATGTACTTGCAGGTGTCTTCAACTAACCCCAACCACATTTCTCAACTGTCCCTCAGGGTTCAACTGTCGCATTAAGAAACCCAAAGGGCCCCGGGATCCCCCGGCAGAGTGGAGTCATGTGGAGAGATGATACAGCAGCCAGATACCAGGTCTGGCAAAAGTGTATTCAACACTTTACATGTTTTTAGAAGCAATGGGAAGGGGCACTTTCATAGAGGTTTTTTAACTTGCTGTGAACATCTATGTGATCACAAAACTACAGTTATCTTTTGTAACCCATTTGAGTTTGTATATTTTTCAGATCTTTTGTACCACTAATTTATTGATAGTGATTTATATTACTGATGGAAAATAAAAACTATTATTAAACATCTTTCCATTCTGAGACAAGTATTGGTTTTGGATACTAACCTAAGGTTCTTCAGCTGTCCCCATAGGAGGACTCTTTGAAGAACCATTTTTGGTTCCAGGTAGAACCCTTTCCACATAGGAACCCTGTAAGATTCTACCTGTAACCAAAAATGGTTCTCCTATGGGAACAGCCGAATATCGCAAAGTGGTGCGATGGCACCAATCAACAGGGGGCACTATAGTAACATGGGATAATGAGCTTTTCAATATTAACGAACCAGGTATTGTAAAATGTGTTTTCACAGGGATTTCTTTGATGTCTACTAATTTATAGTGACAAGGACTTACAATAAAGACAACCATTTCTTCAAGGTTCTTTTAAATAAATCTTTGTTTTAGGCCTGCTTACCACAGTCATTGCAGTGTACATGTATATACAATAAATGTTCTGGTGATCACAGTAAAAACAATGTGCTTTACTGGAAAGCAGTTTGCTGAACATTCTGTGCTGGAAATACCGGCTTTGAAGATTGACCTCTGACTTCTATGGCTATGCTGCTATTGTGTTTCAGTCACGGAAATCAATCGAAACCCAACTTCTTACACTCTGAAATGAACATCTGGGTATCTGGCAGATACAAAGCTAATACTCTGTCTGCAGAAAGAAAAACACAGAGCAGTCTCTCTGGAGATTAAGTCAGCAATACACTTAAATATCTAACATTATAGCTACTGGTTTAAAATGTGTGGTCCTATGTCATGTTCCTATAGAAAGTTGCCCATAAGAACATATTTCTTTTAACCCAGCAATGGAGACCCAACGCTGGGACGAGCATCAGCAAGTGAGAGCGTGTTGGATTTAGGCAGGAAAGAAAATAGACACTTGAGGGGGTGTACTCCTGAGTGGCGCAGTGGTCTAAGGCACTGCATCGCAGTGCTAACTGTGCCACTAGAGATCCTGGTTCGAATCCAGGCTCTGTCGCAGCCGGCCGCGACCGGGAGACTCATGGGCGGTGCACAATTGGTCCAGGGTAGGGGAGGGAATGGCAGGCAGGGATGTAGCTCAGTTGATAGAGCATGGCGTTTGCAACGCCAGGGTTGTGGGTTCGATTCCCACGGGGTGCCGGTATTAAAAAAAAGATGTATTCACTAACTGTAAGTCGCTCTGGATAAGAGCGTCTGCTAAATGACTAAAATGTAAATGTTGCTAATGCCCACTCCATTTTCTAGTTGGCAGTGCATGTGGGATGTCAAGGGGTTAAACTCGGCTGGATGGTTAATCCCATTCAACAGATGCTAATGTGAAATGACAATCTAATGACCTCTACCATGGCTTCTCAACCCAAGCCTCCAGCTATCTCATAGCAACCCCTCACTCAGCTTCAGTCAACACACACACACACACTGACAGACAGACACACAGTGCCTTCGGAAAGTATTCAGACCCCTTGACTTTTTCCACAATTTGTTACGTTACAGCCCTATTCTAAAATTGATTAAATTGTTTTTTCCCCCCATCAATCTACACACAATACCCTATAATGACAAAGTTTTGCTTATTTATAAAAAATTTAAACTGAAATATCACATTTACATAAGTATTCAGACCCTTTACTCAGTACTTTGTTGAAGCACCTTGGGCAGCGTTTACAGCCTCAAGTCTTCTTGGGTATGACGCTACAAGCTTGGCACACTTGGCACACTCTGTAGCTCAATTGGTAGAGCACGGCGCTTGTAACGCCAGGTTAGTGGGTTCAATCCCTGGGACCACCCATACGTAAAAAGTCATGTAAGTCGCTTTGGATAAAAGCGTCTGCTAAATGGCATATTATTATTATTATTATTATTATTTGGGGAGTTTCTCCCATTCTTTGCAGATCCTCTCAAGCTCTGTTAGGTTGGATGGGGAGTGTTGCTGCACAGTTATTTTCAGGTCTCCAGAGATGTTCGATCGGGTTCAAGTCCGGGCTCTGGCTGGGCCACTCATGGACATTCAGAGACTTGTCCCGAAGCCACTCCTGCGTTGTCTTGGCTGTGTGCTTAGGGTCATTGTCCTGTTGGAAGGTGAACCTTCATCCCAGTCTGAGGTCCTGAGCACTCTGGAGCAGGTTTTCATCAAGGACCTTTCTGTACTGTGCTCCGTTCATCTTTGCCTCGATCCTGACTAGTCTCCCAGTCCCTGCCGCTGAAAAACATCCCCACAGCATGATGCTGCCACCACCATTCTTCACTGTAGGGATGCAGCCAGGTTTCCTCCAGATGTGACGCTTGGCATTCAGGCCAAAGAGTTCAATCTTGGTTATCAGACCAGAGAATCCTGTTTATCATGTTCTAAGGAGTCTTAAGGTGCCTTTTGGCAAACTCCAAGAGGGCTGTCATGTCCCTTTTACTGAGGAGTGGCTTCTGTCTGGTCACTCTACCATAAAGGCCTGATTGGTGGAATGCTGCTGTCACGCCCTGGCTGTGAGAGGCCTGTTGTCTTTAATTGGTTTGGTAAGGGCGTGAGTTTCTATGTTATATTTTCTATGTTGCAGTTCTAGGTTGTGTATCTATGTTTGGCCGGGTGTGATTCCCAATCAGAGACAGCTGTCGCTCGTTGTCGCTGATTGGGGATCATACTTAAGTAGCCTGTTTGCCTACCTTAGTTGTGGGATCTTGTTCCGTGTTAGGCTTGTATGTGTATAGCCTGAGGACTTCACGTTACGTTGTTTCTTGTTTTGTTTATGTTTATTGAGTTAATAAACATGTACGCTTTTCACGCTGCACCTTGGTCTGACCAGTCTCTCAACGATCGTGACAGCTGCAGAGATGGTTGTACTTCTGGAAGGTTCTCCCATCTCCACAGAGGAACTCTAGAGCTCTGTCAGAGTGACCATCAGGTTCTTGGTCACCTCCTTGACCAAGCCCCTTCTCCCCCGATTGCTCAGTTTGGCCGGGCGGCCAGCTCTAGGAAGAGTCTTGGTGGTTCCAAACTTCTTCCATTGAAGAATGATGGAGGCCACTGTGTTCTTGGTTTTGCTCTGACATACACTGTCAACTGTGGGACCTTATATAGACAGGTGTGTGCCTTTCCAAATCATGTCCGATCAATTGAATTTACCACAGGTGGACTCCAATCAAGTTGTAGAAACATCTCAAGGATGATCAATGGAAACAGGATGCACCTGTGTTAAATTTTCGAGCCTCAAAAAAAGGGTCTGAATGCTTATGTAAATAAGGTATTTCTATTAAAAAATATATAAAACCTGTTTTCGCTTTCTCATTATGGGGTATTGTGTGTAGATTGATGAGGAAATTTTTTTATTTAATCAATTTTATAATAAGGCTGTAACGTAACAAAATGTGGAAAAAGTCAAGGGTTCTGAATACTTTCCAAAGGCACTGTAGACACACACACACACACACATGTTCAAACACAAACATTAAAATGCACCAAAGCAGATAAATATTTTGACCTATTTTCATGATTATTTGCTGGTGTGTCTGATGTATTTACTGGTGATATCAAATCTCCCCTTAGGGGATCAACAGAAACCTTACCTTATCTTATTATATAGTCATGAAAATGAATCAGAACAAAATTAGCCTCTACAAATTATAGTAACTGTCATGCTGAGTGGGACGTATTTGCTTTGTGTGAAAATACATCAGATAAACAAAATTAGCCTCACATGTAGGGTCTTAATTTGATCACTCTTTTGTTGCTGAGTGTTTTCCTGCACCAAAATGCAGATGAGCTTCGTGATTTACACATGGTTAAACTAACAGTATTTAACTTTTTATGTAGCCTATACTTTTGGCCAGCTAATAGCCTTACCACCGATCAAGCAACATTATTGACTAAACGTTTCAATCCTGCTGCTACAGGATTATTTTGCTCTGATGATATAGGTCAAATTAAGATCCTACATACAGTATGTATCTGGATAGTGTTACATTAAAATGTCACAACTTATGTTTTTTTGTATCTTTTAACTATTTAGAATGGGATGTGGTCAGAAGTTTGTTAATGTTTCCAGAGAGTAGAATACATAGAAGGTGTAAAAACTGCCCTCCTAGGACACAAATGTTTCCCGTTATCACCAAGCTAAACTAAACCAGTCAACCATAGCCTGTGGCCATTGTGGAAACTCTAGACATATTAGGATAGGAATTTATAAATTGATCCTGACCTGTTTAGTCTTTTTACGAGCAAAAAAGTATTGATTGGTCCATATCTTGCATCTGATTTCATTACCCATCTGTTTATTTTTTTATTTTTTTATTTTTTTATGGGGTAGATCAGCTTTAATATTGCAGATAGATTGTAACTTCCATCAATGTAATTGTCTGCATCACTTCCAATCCCCCATATGTTTTTTTTCTTCTATATTTTTCTTCTATATATATATATATATATATATACACACATACATACATACATACAGTTGAAGTCGGAAGTTTACAATCACTTAGGTTGGAGTCATTAAATCTCGTTTTTCAACCACTCCACAAATGTCTTGTTAACTATAGTTTTGGCAAGTCGGTTAGGACATCTACTTTGTGCATGACACAAGTAATTTTTCCAACAATTGTTTACAGACAGATTATTTCACTGTATCACAATTCCAGTGGGTCAGAAGTTTACATACACTAAGTTGACTGTGCCTTTAAACAGCTTGGAAAATTCCAGAAAATGATGTTATGGCTTTAGAAGCTTCTGATAGGCTAATTGACATCATTTGAGTCAATTGGAGGTGTACCCGTGGATGTATTTCAAGGCCTACCTTCAAACTCTGTGCCTCTTTGCTGACATCATGGGAAAATCAAAAGAAATCAGCCAAGACCTCAGAAAACAATTGCAGACCTCCACAAGTCTGGTTCATCCTTGGGAGCAATTTCCAAAAGCCTGAAGGTACCACGTTCATCTGTACAAACAATAGTACTCAAGTATAAACACCATGGGACCACGCAACCGTCATACCGCTCAGGAAGGAGACGCGTTCTGTCTCCTAGAGATTAACATACTTTGGTGCGAAAAGTGCAAATCAATCCCAGAACAACAGCAAAGGACCTTGTAAAGATGCTGGAGGAAACAGGTACAAAAG